AGATGGTTCTGTAGAAAGGTTTAAGGCTTAGTTAGTAGCCAAGGGGTATAATCAAGTGGAGGGGGAAGAGTATTTCGACAGTTGTTCACCAGTTGCTAAAATTGTTACTATTAGGATCTTAGCTTTGGCTACTGCGTCACACTGGCCTTTACAACAATTGGACATCAACAATGCTTTCCTTCATGGATTTCTTGATGAAGAGGTATACACGATTCCTCCTGAAGGTTACCATGTTTCATCCTCAACTCGAGTTTGCAAGTTGATTAGATCCTTATATCGACTCAACAGGCTTCCAGACAGTGGAATGTTGAGTTTACCAAGAAAATTCAACAATGTGGTCTTCATTAATCTGCCAATGATCCTTGCTTATTTACTGCATGGTCATTTTACATGGATGATATCCTTATAATAGATTCAAATGATAGTGTTATTTAGAAGATCAAAACCTTTATGCATCAACAATTTACTATCAAAGATCTAGGTGATGCTAAGTGCTTTCTTGGTGTGGAGATAGCAAGATCCACTGATGGAATGTATCTTTGTCAGCGTAAATATGTTCTTGATATTCTTCAAGAAACAGGACATCTTGGATGAAAACCAGCTGCAACTCCCTTGCCAAACGGACATCAATTCTCTGATCAACCAGGAGCTCCCATAGCAGATGCTTCTCAGTACAGAAAGCTTGTTGGCCAACTATTATAGTTGGGGTTTATCAGGCGAGACATTACATTTGCAGTCCAACAACTCACCAAGCATGTCCATCTTCCTTGTGTAGAACATTGGGAAGCCCTCCTTCATGTACTCAAATATCTCAAAGGGACAATTACACATGGTCTTTTCTATTCCACTGTCAATAGTTACAAACTAGAAGCTTATTCTGATGCTGATTGGGGATCAAACCCTATCCACCGCAAATCAGTTACTTGTTTCTGTGTCTTTCTTAGCTCAGCTCTCATTTCATGGAAAGCTAAGCAACATGACTCCATTTCATGCTATTCTGTAGAAGCTGAGTATAGGAGCATGAGTACAACAGCCAAAGAACTTCTATGGATTAGCTACTTGTTGCAAGATTTTGGTGTTTTTTTCCTCTTCCAGTCCCTCTATGGTGTGACAACAACTCTGCCATCTCTACCATCGAGAATCCGGTGTTTCATGAGTAAACACCTAGAAATCGACTGTCATTTTATTCATCACCACTAGACTCTTGGTTTCTTGGTTCCACTCTTTATCCCTTCTAAAGGTCAACTTGTTGATCTGTTTACGAAGTCTCTTTCTCATCCCCAGTTTAAGCTTCTTCTTGTCAAGCTTGACCTACGTGACTTCTTCCAGGCTGCAGCTTGAGGGGGGATGTTAAGTATTCTGTACATAGCAGTTGAGTTGTATAAAGTTGAATTAGGATCGAGGGTTAGTTTGTACATAGTTAGAAAATATGGGGCAGAGTTGTAAATGTACATACTTAGGTCGGTTGATTAGAGCAGTATAAATGTGGATCTTTGTCTGTAATTTAGACATATTAATGAACTTTCTTTAATTCAAGATTTCCTCTGAATCAAACCCTAGATTATAGTTTTATTCTTCGTTTCTTTATCAAATTCTTTGCAGATCATCTCAATTTCCCATCATTTAATAATTTGAGATGGTATCATTTTGCCGGTCGTTTTTAGGTGATCGGAAAATTCAAGAATCTTCAGTTATCAGTTTCAAACCCAAGATCAAACAATCAGCTTTGTACGAAGTTCAAGACAGACAGCAATGGCGGCACGGCGAGAAGGAAATTGTCATGGAGGAATAGATCAAGAAGAAGGAGACATCATCGTTGTGAACAGAGGAGGCAGTTATGATCATCTACTTGAACGAATTACAAACTATTGGGATGGATTTGCACAAACCAAAAGTTTTGAGAGTAATTTGCGCCAGAGAACAATTAGAGGGATTGACTTGAAAATTTCATAAAGTAAAAGGATGGATTTGCAAACCTTAAAAATTGAATAATGATGATGATAATGGGGGGTGGATGATGGCTGCGTCGACAGGGTTAGGCAGGCCGGGTTTTGTTTGTATGCTTTAATTCTTTTCTCTTTTGTTATTGATTAAAGAACCGCATACCACAATGAAACGACGATCACACAACAACTGAATAATGAAGGTAATTGAAGTGACCAGTAGAGAGAAGCAGCAGCACCGGTTAATGAAGAAGCAGCAGTGAATTGGAGACGCCACACCAATTAAAAACAACAAACTGTAGCGACAACAATATAATCGAAGCAGAGGCAGAGAGTAGCAACATTGATAGGACAGCACAGCTGGAGATGAGAGCAGCCAAAACTAACAAAAGAAGAAGAAATGCCAGGCGGCTAGAAGACCATAGAAATACGAGAAGAAAGAATAAAGCTCCAAGAAAATTGGAGAGTAGCCATCGGAAAAACTAATTGGCAATGAGTGGGGTGGCCTTTGGCACTTATAAACAGGTGACAGATCCTTCGCGATGGCGATGTAAGATTCAATGTCCCAACACCCTCCCTCAAGCCCAATAGGGTGTTTAGCCCATTTGGTTGCACAACACAATATAATTCACCAGATATACTGCTGGGTCAGTCCACAATTCTGGATATACTGTCGGGTCAATCAACAAGGCCAGATACTTTGTTGGGTCAATAAGCATGTACACGCGGGTCTGATGGGTGTCGAGACCACCAAAGAAACCTACTTAAAACTGCAGACAGTGGTAAGTAGGGTTGATCTTACAGGGATGGGTGAAACTCTAATAAACCCCATATGATTTGACTCAAGTCACAGAGAAAAAGAAAAGATAGACACCTTGAGAAAGTGAGAAACAGACTGGACTAAGTGTTCTGGGATCTTAACCTATCCTCTCTCTAGTTGGTTGCTACTTTTGTGGTATGAAACTGTGTCCTATCAAGTACAATAACACTGTAAGGTCCCTTAAGATATTCCAAACAGTAGTCCTAGTTGCAACAAACTCACGAACTCTCGTTGTTGACTCCAGAATACTACTAAGCTATTAAGATCTTAAGCCCTTATGATTGCCTCATACCAAACAACTAACTCTCATTCTTGTTTGAAACCTTGGGCTATTATCCTAAACCTAGGCACACAAATATCACCCAAGCACAACCATATATATTAGCTGGAGAGATTCAAGGGATTAAGACCCCATAAACAGTTTAACTACTCATGTCCTTGACTACAATGGATATCGAAATGATTCACATATCGTCAAGGACATGATTATAAATAAGAAAATACAGAGAAGGAAAGAAAACAGAGTATGGAGACAATCGGCTAAAATTGCTGCAGGCTGGCTACTTGGGCAAATGAGAAACTCAACTCACTTCCCCGGTAGCCACACGTGGCTGCTACCTATTGCCCCTCTTCTTCTATCTATGGGACTCTCTCTCACTCTCAATCAAGTCATCCTTGATCCGAAGATGGATTAATTTGCTGCTGCTCTTCTTCCTTTTATAGATGGTAGAGGAGACTTGCTTACTTAGTAAGATCTCCTCTTTATCCATTGGATTAAGACCAAGGTTAAGGAGACCCATACCTCTTTTGCAGCCCTAATCAAAAGCTTTGCAGCCTTTCATCACTTTACCCTTGCCTTCTTCTTCTTAGCCTTGAAGACTTGCTTCATGGGTCTTGCTTCCTTAGCCTTTAAGCCTCCTAAGGTTTCCCAAAACTACCCTTCTTCTCTCGTCCAAGTGCAACCCGCCGTTGGTTCCCTACTCTTCTTGGATTTTGCATGATTGGTCCAATTGGGCCAGTTCCGATTGTGCCCAAAACTTTGTCAATTTGAACCAATTTACCAACTTTTTAGCTATATTTGTAATTAGGTCCCTTCACCACCAAAAGTCACAAAACATAATTAGAAACATATAATTCCTAACTATATACTACAATTACATGTAAGAAAAAGGGAAATTAAGTATCCTTTTATATGTATATAATTTGACTCTCATCAGGGTCCGTAGTTATCACATGTCCATAGATTGTGGACTCTGATACCGTATCAAAATAATAGGGATTGTATTTCATACGTGTATTATCATGTACAATATATAGAATATAAATAGACAATAATAAACCCTAACTAAAGGTCATTATATAATAAATATTACAATAATATATAACATGAACATGTCGATGCACATTAGAGCTTTTTTTTTTCAAGGATACAAGAGTTTTTTTTTTCTTTTGCAACTCTAGTCTTTTTTATTATTATTAACCCATCTATTATCTAAAATTAATCTAAGTTAATAATATCTCATCATCTTAAATTCTACTAGATTAAACAACGAAATTAACAATCATCACATCCAAATGGATTTTATGACTTGATTTGTTTTCCAATCTTTCAAATCTCACAAAAGTTATTCAAATTCACTCCTGTCGCCAAAAGGAAATTTTTACTTTCATTACTTGTCAGAATTTTATCTTCTCAAAATTTTACTATCAAATCGATAAATAAACTTTCATAGTTTTAAAAAACACACACATAAACACAAAACAAAATTATGTACCCCCTCTGTCTATAATGATTATCTAGTTTGGATTTTTATTTTTTAATATGATTTAAACTAAAAGTGAAATCTCAAATTGGAGAATTATTTTGGGAGGAAGTATATATTATTGTGCTATGAGTAAACCTACATACATCTGCTATATATAACGGTGGAACTATCACCATTCAAGAATATATATCAGTAATCATCCTATTAAAAATCAAAATTATTAATCTACTAAACAAATTTATGAACATTGATCTTATTCAACTGTACAATTTAGAGTGACGATATCATTATTTCTAAAATTAAAAACATTGCAATAATAAGTATAAATGAAGCTCTTCAAAAACAAAAGTATAAACGAAGCTCTTAAAAGAAATTATAAATCAAGTGCATTTGAACAAAAAACATTCTCTTTACACCTCACAGAATGTTAAGCCTGTGTATTTATTTTGATGGACAAAAATTTAAAATTTTCATTGATATATAATTTTTAAGTAAATATAAACACATGGCCTCCGTCGCGCAAGGCAACACTAATACAAAATAGACAATATTTCATCGTATTATATTCTCTCCGTCCCTAAACAAATATAGTCCCCATTTAGCATTAAAATTTGTATTAATATAGACTATTTTTGGACAGAGGGAGTAAAAGAGATGATTGATTACAATTATTCAAAGACACCAAGTTCAAAACTTAAACAACACAAACAAAAGACACAATTATGATGAGAAACATAACTAGTGTTCTTTTCCCATGTATTCTTTGCCCATCCTTATTTCCATGTATTCCGCAGAGTTTTGAAACTGCAAAATCCATGCATCACTAGTTCCCACAGATTTGCTAAACCCTTAGAGAGAATCCAGAAACTCTGAGGACGATAACATTTCTTTCATTAAAATTCCCCGTGGCTGGGACCCTGGTTATCCCAGACGCCAGGCTTCCAGTTGAAGGCAAACTGGCATTGCAATTTGACAGTGGAGTGGTTACGGAAACTTTACAATCTTTAATTAAGAAATCCTGCAATGATGGAGTCGCCGCGAATTTGAATTGTCCTTGCCCATTTGTTGTAGCGGTTGCTACCATATCATTATTGTTTCCACATCGCAACTGTGCCTGAGCATCTGTTCCATCAAAACCCGAAACAAACAAAAAAAACGTCAACATAACCATATACCTCCAATATATTCACAATCAGTGCTTTTTTTTTGGTTACAATAAAGAAAGGTTCAAGCCTTACGATTTAAACCGAAACATTACGGGGTACGCTACATGTTGAATGAATATGCCTCATGTTCCCTTGTCCCACATGGATGGAAGGAAACACTTCAACCCCACCTATATACCACATGTGCTAATCTCCTCATTACCAATTGGCTTTGAGGAGGAAAAACATGTGGGTCTATATTTGAGCCTTCAAAATGGTATCAGAGCGGGTTTTAATCCGCAGACCTGTGGGACTTGTGGGGCGAGGTTGACTGACTATACTGAACTTTGACTTACCCAGATTCGGGTTTTGACTTTGAAACTTTGACCAACCCACAAAAGAAATCCGTAGTTTGACTTTGAACTTTGGCTGGCTCGACAGACGACCATTTATTCAGGATAATAACCGATCGCAAGACTAAAGCAAAAAAAACATATAAAAATTTACTCCTCCAATCCCATTGGGCTTGAGAGGGGCGCGTTGAATGAATATGCTTCATATTCCCTTGTCCCACATGGATGGAAGGAAACATGATGTGAACATCCATAGTGATCAAGTCCAAGATGATTAAGGTGTTCGAGTTCTAAGTACTGTCCAAGCTCAAGGAGTGGTTCAAGATCCATTATCCAATATTGGAGGCTCAATGACTCGAGCTAGGACTAAAAGGATGAAGATTACACTTAATAATCTTATGTCAAATAGTTTGGCCCAAGAGAATGTCAAGTTTGGAAGTTACAAGCCCAAGATTATTTTTCGGAGGCCAGCCCTATCTCCTAATTTTTAGGAGTTGGAATCTCTATCTTTTAGGGATAAAATCATTTAAATTTTATCACACTTGTGGAAGGATAAGATCTGGAAGATTCCCTATCTTTTAGAGATAAGATCATTTAAATCTTACCACATTGAAGGATTAAGATTTGATATGATTCTCTTTTATCTAATTTAGATTTTATTCAAAATAAGAAGTCTATTCCTAGGTGTCTACTCTTAACTGTTAGATGAAGATTAGATCAAGATTAGATGGCTATGACTACTCTACAAAGAAGATATTGATAGAGTTGGCAACTCAGAAAGATTCTTTTCAAGATAAGGATAAAATTCTTTTGAGATAATATCTCTTTGTATTTGGAGTTTTACTTTCATTAGACTAGTGTTTCTTAAGTCTATAAAGGTGTCTAGATACATTGCCTTAATAGACAAAACAAGTTGTCAATTAGAGGTTATTGATATCTAGTTCTTTAAAGTAAGAATAGAGTTAAAGATCAAAATCTTCTCCTAATTGATAGGAGAATATTCGGCCCCCTCTACTATAAATAGGGGTGATTGGCCAGCTTTTCATTTGTACCTTTGATGAATTAGATATTTCAATACGAGACGAGAGGAAACTCTTTGTTCTTTTTCTATTCTTTTCAAAAATTAGTGCATTGCACACAAGCTTGTGCTTTGTTGATGCGTGCGAGTAGAATAGGTGTTTTTCTACTTGTGGAACTTTGGTATTTTTTCATTGGAGTCTTTTCGCTAGCCGTTCCATCCATAAATCAAAGGAATAGGGTTGTTAGAGAAGCAGCCGATTGCGTTGCTAGCCTTAAACACTTTCTACATTTTCTAAACCTTTCCATCCCTTTTTTGTACAAATTTTTGTGGTTTGCATCTCTTCTTCTTTTTTTTTTTTTTGAGTTTTAGAGTCCATAATTTTAGATTTGCAAGTTTTCAAGTCCTATGATATTCATAGTTTCCGCGTCGAGGTAAATCTGCCACCTTTGCCTCAAGATTTGCCCACCAAGATTGATACGAATATTGAGGCAAAGGTGACAGATTTACCTCGACGCGGAAGCTTTGAATATCCTAGGACTTGAAAACTTGCAAATCTAATATTATGGATTCTAAAACTCACGAAAAAATAAAAGAAAAGAAGAGATGCAAATCACAAAAATTTACACCAAAAAAGGGATGGAAAGGTTTAGAAAATGTAGAAAGTATTTACCGCAAGCAATCCAATTGGTCGCCTCTCTAATAGCCTTATTCCTTCGATTTATAGATAGAACGGCTAGCGAAAAGGCTCCAATGAACAACTAACAAAGCTCCACAAGTAGAAAAATACCTATTCTACTCGCATGCATAAACAAAGCACAAGCTTGTGTGCAATGCACTAATCGAAAAGAATAGAAAAAGAACAAAGAGTTTCTTCTCATCTCATATTTAAATATCAAATTTATCAAAGGTATATATGAAAAGCTGACCAACTCCTATTTATAGTAGAGGAGGCCGAAAATTCTCCTATCAATTAGGAGAAGAGTTTGATCTCTAACTCTATTCCTACTTTAAAGAACTAGAAATCAACTTAACCTCTAATTGACAACTTGTGCTTTTTCTATGAAGGCAATGTATCTAGACACCTTTATAGACTTAAGAAACACTAGTCTAATAAAAATAAAACTCCAAATACAAAAAGATATTCTCTCAAAAGAATCTTATCCTTATCTTGAAAGAATTTTCCTGAGTTGCCAACTCTATCAATATCTTCTTTGTAGAGTAATAATAGTCATCCAATCTTAATCTAATCTTCATCCAACGGTTGAGAGTAGACCCCAAGGAATAGACTTCTATTTTGGGCCAAGAAATAGTTCTTATTGGCTAGTGCATTGTGAACAAATCTTATTGGACTTGAAATTAGTTAATGAAACATTGTGCCAAGATTTATAGACTTAAGTGATTCTTTTTTATATATATGAAGGTCATTGTAAATTTTGCATATATACGAATCTTGAGGCAAAGGTGGCAGATTTACCTTGATGCGGAAGCTATGAATATCCCAGGACTTGAAAACTTGCAAATCCAAAATTATGGACTCTAAAACTCATGAAAAATAAAATAAAAGAAGATATGCAAACCACAAAAATTTGCACTAAAAAGGGATTGAAAGGTTTAGAAAATGTAAAAAGTGTTTAAGGCTAGCAACCCAATCGGTCGCCTCTCTAACAACCCTATCCCTTCGATTTATCGATAGAACGGCTAGCAAATTCTTGATTAGCCCACCAAGAAGATGCATTTCCTTGAAATGTGGACACTGCTACCTTAACCTTTTTCATTTCAGAATAATCATGAATAGCAAATAACTTACTCATTTTATTCTCCCAGCCAAGATACGCCTTTGGATCACGTCTTCCATAAAACTTCGGTATCTTTTCATCCACTTGATCCATAAACCTTCCTCTTTCCTTATAGTAAGGATTATTATACTCTTCATATAAACTTCACCATCACCATAATGATCATAGCGTCCCATTGATCCTGGTTACATTATCAAAAACACAAAAGAACAAGAATATCAAAGAACTCACTATCTCGTTAACCCTCCCAACTTTTTTATTCACTCCCCAAGATCTCTCAAGAAGGTTTAGAATTTTAGTGAGGGATTGATTCGCTCTATTCTTACCACTGTCTTTGTTCTTCAATTTTCTTTTATTTTTCGTGAATTTTGGAGTCCATAATTTTGAATTTGCAAGTTTTCAAGTCCTGAGATATTCATAACTTCCGCGTCAAGGTAAATCTGCCACCTTTGCCTCAAGATTCGTATCAAAATACTTGAACTCAACATATATACCCCATGTGTTGTTCTCTTCATCACTAATTGGTAAAACCCAGGACCTATATCCAACTCAAGTTCTTAGAACTTGGGTTGGTGTAAGTGCTTCTCATTAGCGTAGAGCACTTCTCTATAATCTATGATGTATTACGAAATAATTATCTAAGTAAGATTTTGCTTTTAAAATAGATTGTACTAAAAATAAAAATCTATTAGACAATCATTCTAGCATAGAGAGCACAGAGAGAGTGTCTAAAATTTTCAGTATGCTATGCATGATGTATGCAGTATACGTAAATTCAAGAGAATGAATATTCATGAATATTCATGCAGTATGAATGAATAATTATAGGGAAATTTACTAGGAAAAGGTGGTAGGGTTTGGGTTGGGGTGCCATTGTTACTGCTGTCCGGGGAGCAAAACACCGTCCCGTTGAGTTGAATTATAGTAAAGACCCCATTAACTAGCTGTACTAAATCTCCAAGCGGCTCTGTTGGTCCTAACAATCCTTCTATCGCTCCTGTAAACGAACGAACTGCTCCCAGCCTCAACTGTGCTTCTCCTGTTGGGATTGCTGCCAAAGCAATCATCACGAAATTTAAGAGAATCAACCTCAAATCCATGGTGATAAAGACAGAGAAAATGCTATTTATGAATAGTTTATATTGCTTTAGGGATGTGTGTTGTGAGCACTTTGTGGAAGTACCCTGCCTATTTATAATGTCTTAGTCAGGTTGTCTTTTAATCAACGGAAAAATTCATATTATATACAAAACTGATGTATCTATTTTTTTTAATACAGTAACACACTACTGCATAACAAAAACATTATGGCCTCCCAAACTGTTGATAACTTTATCCGTGTTTTATCTATAACTGCACAATATTACGTGGTATAGCTACTATAGAATAGATTTATTCCCAAATCACCTAGCCAAAGGACGTCAAATGAACAAACAAACAAACACTTGGCCAGAATTTTCAAATCTTCACATAAGCATATAATGGTGATACTTCCTCTGTCCTAAAATTATTGTCCAGTTTGAGATTTCACTTTTAGTATAATTTGAACTAAAAATGAAAAACTCAAACTGGACAATAATTATGGGACGGATGGAGTAAAATATTTATTCGGCACATTTTTTATTATAGAAACTGCCTACCAAATTCGATCGAAATTAGTACAAACATCAGTTTTTACCACGGAATGTGAGCATTCATCGAATTGGTACTAGTAGCAAACACAATTCACTTTGTGTAAGGAAACAAAATTTTAACAAAAATAAATTTTACATTTTGAGAGAAAATAATGTATCTATTTCCATCTCTGATTACCAATTGTGTCTCGCTAATTACGATATCACTGTAGTTTTATCTGGTAAACATCATCCTATCATGTTCTAATTTATTAGTATATATGAATCTAGAATGGATTATTTCACTGATAAGACACAACAAGTTGAGGTATGTTCTTTTTTCCTTACGGCCAAAACATCATCATCGATTTCTGGACCCCTAAATTTCAAGCGTGCATTTTAAGTCAACTTGTTCCTCCGTTAGATGCGTTCAGACAGCATTTCCGAACTCTCCAGTAAGTAATCACCATTGAGTGCATTTTGCGGTCCTCACAATACAATCCTGCGGTTAATTGCATACGTTTCTCTTGCCAATATTATTGTACCTTGTTGAACATCTTCGATATTACTCTATCCATACAAAAAAAATTGTTCAATTGAAAAACACTATTTTTTCTGGATAGAAAGAGTATTATTATATTCAAACCCTAGGTTTTTTAGAGTCTATGTCTCGACTCTTCTTCCGTGTGTTGGTTGGGGAAGGGATGGGGGGTTCTGGAGTTTTGCCTTTTATGGGATTTTTCGATCTCATTTGGTGGTCCTCAATACAAATTCGCTCCTACGTAACTAAATATTGCTTTTTACGTTATGATAGACCCAACGAAAACTGAACTAGCTTTGCTTTTGTTGCATTGATTCAAAATCTGCAATCACCACCCATCATTCAGAACCATTCCTCGTTCTTTTTTCATTCTTGGACGGAGAAAATATTATCTATAAACCCTAGGTTTTATAGACTCTACCTCTCTCGACTCTTCTTTCGTGTGTGCGCGCATGGTGAGGGGAGGGATCGGGGTTTTGCACTTTTGCCTTTTATGGAACTTTTGGACTTTGGTCATTTGGTGGTCCTCAAAACAAAGCTCTGACTTATCTAAATATAGCTTTATGTTATTCTGACGTTAACGAAAAATGAACTACATATTTCTAGCGCTTTAGGGCAACTTTCACCACCCTTTCTCTTTTTTCCGTCGAAACTAAGTTCCGAATTTTTCAGAGAAGCAATGGAAGACTTCATGTAGAATTATTTTAATTTTCGCTACTAATTTAATCTTAGTTTAAACTCCATGGCCTTAAAACTTCGGTGAAAAAAAAAAAAAACCCTTCCTTGAGTGATGAAGCAAGCTTCTGTTTACCCTTGAGAATAATGGAATAGCCTTGAAACCACTTAATCTTCACCTATGATGATAATTGAATATCCTTGAAACCACATGATTTTCAAACCTGCAAAGCCCCGGCAAGTGCCGGGGTAGACACTCCGATGCCAAAGTTAGTTCATTTATCATTTAACAACATGATATTTATAAGAGAAGAGAATACCGTTCAAGGATGAATCTCGAACTGTTAAGACTGAATTATGGAGTATCAGATCTTTCAACAATGAATCGTGGAACATAGTTGATAAAGATTGTGATAACATCAATTTAGTATCGTTAATTGACTTAGCCAAACTGCGTATTCACTAAGATGTGAATAGTAATTATACATTCACCTCTAACAACGGACTTATTTCATCTATATATTAAACCTATCTTCATTCACTTTTGTACCGAACCCAAATAAGTTCTTTTTTGCAATAGAATCATTCTAATAATTAGAGTGGACCTAAGTTACTAAAAGCACACTTAAGTGAATTTAATCCAACCCCATCATCGAGGGACATAGCAGCTTAGAAAACATGTTGAAAACCTGTCAATATTGCTAAAAACCCTTAATTAAGCAGTAGTCCATAAATAAATATTGATATACCACCACCCTCTTCTCGTGTATGAGCTAAGACTATAAACATTTAGTTCAAAAACCACTAAAACATTAAGAAAAACGTTAGGTCTAATTAAAATAAGCAAAAAAGAATGTAAGCTTCAAAAGATAACGGACTAAAAATGATGGTATCTAAAAGTTGTAAGAATTAAAACGATTCTCGTTATATATTCTAGATGTATATGTGTGTCATATGCATAAATATAAATGTATTTTACCCAATTTCTTTCACTTTGATGAAAAGTCGTTCAGCTGAATCGCGCATGTGATTCTCGTACAAGCTAATCAACAGTGTGTTCATTGTTACTACATCAGGATCATGTCCCTTACGATCGATATAAATTGTCACACAAAAAACCATTTCTCTAACAAGTTGTCCGTTCTTACACAAAGCAACCATTCATCAGCTTTGTTATTCATGCACAACCCATCAAGAAGTACACTAAGTCTGAACCTCAGGTGTTAAATTGCTGTTTCCCGCTTGAATTATTTCTCCTTCATCTCAGAACTGGGAATTTAGTTGTTGAAAATGAATTGAAGTCCATTTCGTCGGAAGTCAATTTATTAATTCATTTGCTTGGACCGGAATTAGCCGAACTTTGACTAGTAAGATCGTGTTAGAACTTTTCAGATGAGCAAATAGAAAAAGAGACTAAGCTGAATATTTTCATTGATGATTTTAAACTCAAATCAAGGTGCCTTAAATAGGTTTTACAAACTAACATACTAAGAGAGAATTTATAAAATCTTGCTTAGACGTATCAATAACAAAATTTGACTAATAACAACAAGATAACAAAATAACAAATCAAAAACTTAATCTAGTATGAATAAAATATCCAGCAGATCGATCAATGCACTGTGCTCCATTCTACAAAACTATGAAGTTATTCAACAAAACTACAAAATTTCAAACTAAAATATCGAAGCAAATCAGTACATTATTTTCTGATTTTCTCACTAAAGATCTAAAAATTGAGCTTTAGTTACAGGGGATGATGATGATCATAAAAGTTGAAAGAAATTGAACAATTCAGAATCTGCAACAACGGACGCGAACACCCCTGCTAACTCTATGTTCCCTCATTTCTCTGTTTTCGGGTTGCGGCATGTGAACAGGGCTTCCCATCCATTCCCATCTCAATCTGCTCATCAAAACTGCTACTATAAATCAAGCATTTTTCAAAACAGAGGGAAATTAAAAAAAAAAAAAAAAGTGAAGAAGAGACATTAGTGACTTACACTGGGAAGGCAAAAGATCCAGAGCTAGCATCCGAGCGATTCGAGTCGCTAGAATCTGCGACCGATAACATGGAAGATAGCGTCTTGAATTGATCATCACTATGAGTTTCGATGTGACTAATCTCTTTTATCTCATCAGGTGGCTGCCACACTACTTCCATGTCGTTTCTTCCTTCCTCCTCTTCCTGCAATTTTTTTTCGTATGGTTATTCACAGCTTCTGAAAAATATAATTATTACTTCCTCCGTCCTAAAACTATTGTCCAGTTCAGATTTTTACATTTATTACATTTTGAACTAACAATTAAAATCAAAACTGGAATAATTTCCAGATGGAGGGAATACATACTCTCCGTCCCAGAACCATTGTCCTATTTGAATTTTCACTTTCCGTACCATTTGTGCTAAAATTATAAATTCCAACAGCATACATTCATTTCGGGACAGAGGGAGTATTATGTATGGAAAACAGCTTTCGACAAGAACAAAGAAACTGAAGAATCTTACTAATTGTCCATTTGCAGCATTGTAAAGCTTATCATCTGATAGTTCATCCGCATCCACATAACTCTGTCTACAAACATTTTCATCATTCTCTCTATGCTTCTGTTTGCTTTCCTTCTTGTAAACAGAAATGAATGAAAGTTTAAAAAACAAAAGAACTTGAACAAATTCTGTAAGAACAGCCAAAAATGAGTGAAAATGTAGTTATAATTATAAAATCAATTTAACTAACCGAAGTAGCATTGGATGCCTCTGATGCCCTTTTCTCTTTGACTAGATGGATAGTTCCATCATCTTGGAAGCAAAAGACCATATATTCTTCTTCCCTAAAACACGACCCGCTGCTTAATCCAGACAAACCCTCTTCAGTACTTTTCCTTGTAATTTGCTTAGAACTCTCAGCAGATACTTTCCTTTGATTGGTTTTCTTTTTCCTTAGTTTTTTTTGCTCATCTTTTTGCTTTCTTTTATGCTCTCCAATTGGATCAAACAAGATGGTGTTCTTGGTTCGACCTCGATGATGATCAGTTGATGACGTGGAGGGATTTGGTTCCTCGTCTTGAAACAAATCGAAACAATAAGCAGAGAGAATGTAGAAAATAAATTAAATCAAAATACCAGGATTGTGATGCTATCATATCCAATTTATATATATATATATATATATATATATATATATATATATATTATCCATTCATCTGTATTCCCTCCATCTTAGAAAAATACTCCATTTTGCAATAATGTTTCAGTTCAAGAAAGTTTTTTTCCAGGACGGAGGGAATTTGATATAAAGCTCTTTGCTAATTAGGTGAAGAGCATGATCATTCATATAATCAGTAACTAACAGATAGCATACAATACAAATAAAATTATACAAACCTTTCTAGTAACTAGATGCATAACAATTATACTCCCTTTACCCCAAATTGATTGTCTAATTTGATTTTTTGATTTAATATAATTTTTATTAAAAGTGAAATCCCAAATAAGATAATTATTTCAGGACAGAGGGTGTAATAAGTATAGCTTAAAAATAAATTCAAAAGCAACCACAAAAAAATAGTGAAGAACTGCTCTAGAAATTTCAATGACTAATATCTTCAAATATAACAAGGACTACAATAGATTTGATTTTCAATCATGCACAAAAGATGGGATTTTCGAATACCTTACCTATACGAGGGAGTTTGCATGTAGAAAAACAAGCAGCCAAATCTCTGACTCGCCATCTTGCGAGCTTAATGATGGTATCAGAACTCATTCTTGAAGCCCTTTTCTTCTTCAGTTTCTATGAAGAGATTATTATTTTCTTCTTTTTTTTTTTTTGGGTGTCTTTGGTGTATCGATGAAGGGGAAGAGGAAGAGGCAATAATTTCGAATTTGAAAAAGGTTAAGAAGGTTTAATCAAAGGGATTTTACTATATTTATGTCGATTGTATTGTAGTTAATGTAGTGAGCGAAATGAGGCATTTATGATTTTATTTGGGTAAGGGAATGAAAGAAGCAAACTTATGTGGTAACGCTTCGTTGATTATCGATGATAAAATATTAAAATGTATCAATTTACTACATACTGAAAAAGATTACTGATGAAAAAAAAATTATAACAAATAGTTTTGTACTCCCTCCGTCTCATAATTATTGTCCAGTTTGAGTTTTCATTTCTAGTTCAAAGTGTACTAAAAATGAAATCTCAAACTAAACAATAATTTTGGGACAGAGGAAGTAATTTCATATTCTAATAATATGTTTAATTACTCCAGGGTCGGTTTTATGATAAATAAAAATTGTTACAATTGGAAATTTTTTAGCTTGATCATAAGTCTAGCGTTTATTGAAATGATGTTTATTAAGTCAAATACAAAAGAGACTAGACTTGAGTAATGGCTGATAGTTTCTATGGTTTTAGTTTTGTGTGTGAAGTTAAGAATAGTATGTTAATTTTGATTTTGATTTTGAGATTATACTAGATGTTTGGCTCAGGCAGATGCCCGGGCGCCCCTTCTAAATTACTATTTTATTAAAATCTAATTGAATTACTATTTTTTGAGGAATTAATTTAGCGTATACATCATTTATGCTATGATTTGGGGCTTAAAAAAAATATACCTATAAATCTGAGGTTATAAGGGAATAATAAATAATCAGTTTATAAGGCATTATTCTTAATTGTTGGATTTAGGTATTTTTATTTTTTGTTTATATTAAACCGGAAAAACTATACGATTGGACATTTGAATTTGAATTAATATATCCATTCGTTTGAAATGTAACTGATCCTTATTTGTAGTAAAACATGTGTTTTTTTTAAAAAAAAAAATTATATAACTTCTAATTAAAAGAGACTTATACGTGGCAAAAAGACTCCTGAAATCTGAAATATGGTGCATTGGAGCCAAAACAGATGCATACTTAGTTGCCACATAAGCTTCATGTCTTCTGCTTTAATAGGGTAAAAGGGATATGCTAAGAAAAAAAAATAGGCAAGTTCCAAATGTAAATTACATGTTCTTTATTCTATTTGTAGGCCATTATTTCGGTAAATGAATGTGAAACTTAAGCTTTGTTTAGTGGGGAATATTGTGTTGAATCTTTCAAAAAAAGAATGGAAGTTACAAATATGTCAAGTTCACCATTAGACCATTTCATCTTTTAGCCAAACCTATGGGTGTTAAACTTTTCATCTTAAGTGTACTTGGCATAGTTCAACTAGTATAGCAGAAAGAAACTGATGAGATCATCTTCTTCAGGTACTCTTCTGTTCAGAAAACGCTTCTCTAGGTAGAACAGTAGAATATCCAATGGAATTGGCGAATAATTTCGTGAGACGCCATGCAAATACCATGAAATCCACCACAAAAACAACAAAGACTCTTCGGTAACGGAAATATAACTATACTATATGATTGCAATTTGCATGTCCACGCATTACAAGCACGGCACAACGTGTAACTTCTATCATATCACTCATGTAATCTTAACTACTATGAGCAAATATTCCAAGGAACCTAGTTCAATCAGAGACAGTGCATGATTCGGCACCACCGTCTGCACTAAGGCATGATTTTGCACAAGTGGAAATCATATGCCTGTTAAGGGGCAAACTGTTGTCAAGTTGCATTTACTTTTTAGGGATTGGAGGATGACGAAAGCCTAGAAAATGGTCGACATGATCAGTTCTTGAAAAAAGGTAGCTTGCTTCATCCTCTCTTCATAATCTTGTTCTTCAACAGCATCTGAAGATGCCTTCCTGCAAAATGATTATACACTCATTCAAACTGAATAACCAATGGCAGCAAGTATGCACTAAACATTCCAACTTCTTCCACTTCAACGACAGAGCGCATCACCACTACCTAATATTGGAAGGTTCTTTTAGGAGGTGAAAGCACTCCCACTGATGCACTCTTAAATATATTAAAGATATTACAACTGCCACTTGTGTTTCCTAAAACATTCAATTTATAGCCAACAACTAGATGGAACAAAAAAGAGAGTACTTGTATAAGAGAATATGCCAGTCTAACACCCAAAGGGAGAATGAACAGCTTAGCAAAACAGGAACACTGGAGGAGAAAAGGCTTGGTTGCAGTGAATTATTTGAAAAAAAGGACAGCTTCTTCTTCAAACACTTTTGTATGTCCTGCTCTTTGGTAGAGTTTCAAAAAAAAAAAAAAAAACACACACCATGTGCAGATAGGTATCAGTCACTACTATATTTTCACTTTTAAACATGTCCAGAAGGACTCTCAAAACATGTCCTCAATATAAATGCACTTATATACAAGGACTTTATGGATATTATTCTCAGTACTTAACAAAAGACTAATGATATTAGCACTCCATTTTGTGACAAACTGTTTTACTATCACTGAAGATGTGTAAGTTTCTGATGAATTAAACTTTTGCAATGAAAAAGTACCAAAGACAAAAGTTGGAATTTGTAATCATGACCCCAGAATAATATATGGGGACTCATTAGAAGAAATTCTTATGAATCCTTTGGACTCCTTCAATGATATTATCTGTCAGACCTACAGATTTTAGAAGTGTGTCATTACATTTTCTAGGTTCCAAAATGACATTTTTAACTGATAGATGATTAATTTATCTCCAGCGGCTAATAAGCCAAAAAGTTCTTAGGGTCTTTAAACATTTCTTCAGCAGTAACTTAGGGAGTCATATAGAAATCAGGAATGCAGGAAACTCATTCCTGAATGGTAAATGGGGTTTTAGGACTTCATCATCCTTAAGTAATAGTTGGGTTAATAGCAATAAAAGCATCTAAGAAACTAGTTATAAGAAGACAACAATGTTCTCTACTTAAGCCAGAAGGAGAGGGGCGGGGGGATCTTACAGTAAGCACCAGCAATTAAGACAGTTTAGCTCTGGTTATTACACAAATCAGGGGTAGCTTACTATTGTGCTTATCCCCTGCTCATGACTACTTCGAAACAAAAGAAGTAAGAAAAACTTAACATGGAACTCAATCCAATTAAAGAAATAAAATATCGAGGATGAAGAAGACGATAAATAAAGGGGAAGCACAAATAGAAATGAAGTAGACAAAACCAATATTTTAAATCATGGAACATAATCAGAAATTGGTTTTGATGTTCCACAAGCTATCCAAAACCATTTCTGTTGTGCTCTATTCTTGGGCATGATATGCATATAGATACATGCTCGCAATAGCATCATTATTTCTATAATGTTTATAAATGTATGTACAATTCTACGTTTAGTTTGTGGGTTATGTATTAGGCAAAAGCCACTAACGAGCTACAAAGTATCCTTTTGTTAGACAAGTCGGTGACTCCTTTTCTTAGGAGTATGCAACTGTAAGCAAGTCTCGTCCTTCCACCTTATTTCAAAACAAAACAAAACAAAAAAATAAAAATAAATAAAAAAAAATCTTAAAACCATGTATGTACAAAGTAGGCCTAAAGTTGTTTAACTTTGACTTGAAGAAAAGTCATCATGTTGATTTCAAATAGTAATGAATAGTCCTACAGAAAGCACTTACATATGCACTTAAATGAGGTGAATGGAAAACCTTTGTGATCATACTAGAAGTAACAGAATTTTCAATTTAAGATTACTCACTTAGAAGCCGAAGGGCTAAAATCATTAATACACTTGGTACGAATTTCGTAAAGTTGTCAAATGCTTACCTAATACACTTCAGACCATAATTCTCATCAACATTTGTATATTTAAGAAAGTTCTTAATTACAATTTCTCTCTCTATTTTTCACTATTCAAATATCAGAAGGGAACATCTACAGACAATAGGCACCTTCATGTCATAGCAAACAGAGGCCCTAAATCTTGTGAAATCTATGTGGACAATCATATAAGTTTCACAAAGCCAGCAACAATTGCCATATCTATCTACCAATGTAAACATACTTCTCCGGCAACTAGTTGAATTACGAATGCACTTTAGATTAGAATCCATTTTCAAAGGAAGCAACATGACCAACACGTGTTAACTAGCTTCAAAACCTCAAGGCTCAGACCAAGATTTCAATTAATAAACACTTATAAACTTATAGTGAGATGTAAAAGAGATGGGATGAGTATCAACAACAACAGCAAGTCTTTTTCCCACTAGGCGGGGGAGAGAGTATCAGGGCAGAAAAAACTCCCAAACCGGAAAAAGAAGTTACCTTTCAGTGTTAATTGTTGAGTCAGAATAACCAGAAGATACATCCTGTTTGGAGTCTTTGGAGTTCGAAAAAGGTGACGAACAAAGAAATGGTGAAAGGAGTGGATCAGAAGCAGGTTCTTGTTTGTCAGATTTGTAGTTCAGTGTGTTTGAGCCAATCAATGAAGTTAACTCTCGGAAATCCTTGCTAACAGTTGATGATACATTTGTCCACATGCCTGATCTTTGAGTTTTCCTCTTCCTCTGAAACACTCCATCCTTATGTGGTTAGCTCAGTCAATCATTCATCAAAAATCAAAGGCAACACACCCCACATTTCCCAACCAAATTATACCTTTACTGAATGAGCATGCTGCATAGTGAAATGCCCAATTGGATCTTTTCCTAGAGTTGCTGCACATATTGGGCATACCTATTGAATAGTTCAAGTCAACAACCGAGTATCATTTCAGGAAACAAGATAAGCACATCAGACACCTCGCAGAGTATTTCCAGATTGAGATTCAAAGAGAGACAAGAACAATCCTCTTTATTGGCAGACAACATAATAAGCATGGTTGAAGTGCAATCATATTATCTAACTCTCCTTAAACTTATAGTTGAGCAGGAAAGAATACTATCTTGATATGATATTTATCATCCAAATTCCAATATCAAGGTAATTGGGAACCAAGACAGAACAAATTAGTAATGCGAAGAAGCACTTACAGCATTTTTCAAGTCAAAACAATGCTCTTCTTGCAAATGGCTACACAAAACTGGGACTTCAATTTCCACATAACAGAAAGGGCAGGGAAACCATGCTCTTATTTCATCTTCTCCTGCATCATCTATGGTCAAACGAGCATCTGTACAATTCAGAGATGTGAGCTTCAAAGAAACTTTAATGTATAATCAGTACTGTCGTAATAAAGAAACTAAGACACGGTGACAACAAAGAGCAGCAAATTAGCAAGTTCACAAACTTCACTTCTCAATCCTTAAATAGACACGGAATCAACCGAACTACAATTGTAGACTAATTCATTTTCAGCATTATCAACTACTAGTCAACCTTCAGAAGGAACATAATTAAGAAAGATTGAGCCAAAAGACACAGAAACAGGTACAAGATAAGAAGAAACAGCTCAAGACCTCCCCAGATAAAATCAAACACAACATAACAGAACCACAGATACATTATCTAGTCCCAATCACTTCAACAATACCTGATCTTCAACAATCAAAAGGACCAAAACCCATAACTTCTTCAAAAGGAAGAAAAAGGGACTTTAAAGAAACATCAAATGATAAAAAAAAAAAAGAGTATGCCTTGAAATGGAGACGGACCAGAATTATTGAGCCCACCAGCTGAAACTGCAGAAAGATGATGTTTTGAAGACTGAACTCTAGCAGCCCAGAAGTCCATATCCATCTTTTAATTACTTCCAACTTCTGCTGATGAATTATACTATTATACCAGTGAACCCCACTTGAAACTGATAAAAATCCCAGCAAACCAACAAGTCAAAATTGGCTGAAAATTTTCAGATGATGAAAAGTTTTTAGCTTTGCTTAGCAGTAGGAAGAAGACTAAAAGGAAAGAAGAGTGGCTGGCTGCTGCTTTATTGGCTGGTAATGTTAGTAAGAATTAAATGGGATGTGGTGTTGTACTAATTTGGATTGTTGTGATGAGTGATGAAATTGAAAGCTTTATTATATGAGGGGAGAAAGATCTCTTTGGTCTGATGACATGATTTGAAAGCTTTTCTGACACACAAAAGCTAGTTTATAGATTCTTGACACGTGGAAAATGTTGTCTCATTTTCTTTTTCTTTTTTTCAAAAAAAAAATTTGTTTCTTTCCCCCTTCTCTTCCCTTCGAATCAATGAGGAATATGGTCACAGGATAGCAAGGACTACATTATCAGCTACTGTCGACAATTAATCTGCTTTTATTCTTAATTAATATAAAAATTATAAGCCTTAATTATTAGAAATAATACATCATCCGCTTCCAAAAAAAAAAATTCATGATTTGGGAGCACAATTAGCACATGTTAAGTACAAATTTATCGCCAGATAGAAAAAAGACCACCAAATGATAGTTTCAAAAATATTTAAAGAACACTCGATGCAAGATCATGGAAAGAACTATCGATAGATGAACATATACGCTCTTTACTATAGTACTGTAAATTTTGGGTAGAAGCATATACTACTAGATTAATTATTTTCCTTCAACATAGAACATTTTGGCTTAACTCAAAGCCTTTATTTTCTTTTTGCTCATGCAAGTTTACTTGTTCGAATTCAGTCTCGATTAAATTCTATTCTACTATGTGCAATCTTTCTTACCATCTTGCATTTAATTCTGAATAGAGAGGTTTCTTTTAGCATTCGTCAATCTGATTATGATGTTAAGGATAATATTTCAAAGTTACATTGATCAAATTTCGGAGTCTCTATCCAGTATACCCGGGGCACCACCATACTCCCCCTCCTATTTTTTACACTACTAGTCCTTATTATATTTTTTTTCACTTTTCGAAATAACATCCTATAATTTATAGGTTTAGTCCCTTTGATTTTAAAGGAGAGAGAAAAAAATCAAAACGACTAAACCTGTAAATTATAGGATGTTATTTAAAAAAGTGGAAAAAAAAAAGTATAGTAAGGACTAGTAGTGTAAAAAATAGGAAGGGGGAATATGGTGCCCCGGGTGCATCCAATAAATTGCCAAATTTCGTTATAAGAAAAATCTTCCGAACAAAATATTTTTCATTAATGGTGGAGGCAGAGGAAGATAATAGTAGCGATGGTGAAAAAGAAGAATAATTTGAATTAAATAAGGGAATTAGTTGAATGAAAAGGTAAAATGGGGAGGAAATTAACTTTAAAAGATTAAATTTAACCATGTTTGGAGAAGTAGGGTAGAATTGAAAGAAATTAATAAAATATTTAAAACGGGCCTGAATTTTGACGGAAAATTTCATTTCATTAGTTTGCTTTTGGTCAATTAAATGATTTTTGGGGAAAAAACTTTTAGCACGATTTTTTTTATTTTAAAAAATGATTGGAATGATAAATGGATTGATAGTACTTTAGGAACGAAAAATTTCATGCACCCTTTGATTAAATATTCAGGCAAGTGACAAAGAAGATGTCACTGTTTATTTAAATAAGACATACATATGACATTGTAAGAGGCGTAACATATTGTAAGTGTATGTTTTAATTTAGGTCGTGACATCTATCTATCTATTCTATATATTATATTGAGGTAAAAACTAGAGAGAGAAAACTAAAGGCACGGAGCAGATGCCACATAGAATTTAATTCTATGTGGCATTTTCTTAATTTCTTAGACTTAAAAATACACAAAACAAAATAATAAAACAAAAAAAAGCAACTAAAATAATTTTTTAAAAAAATAAAATAATAAAAACTGAACCCTTATTTTCATAAACCAAATCCTAACACAGAGATTGATTGGAGAGAGTACCAAATCCTAACAAATTTTAGAGAGATCTGCATACACCTTATCACCAGTGAATTTAAAATGTCATTTAAAAAAAAAAATAAATTCCTGTAAATCCAGAAGTAATCATGTTTAAAACTGAAGTCATTACATATTTTATAAAAATACAAAATTTATATAAAAATGTCTAAATGTGTATGCCATCCCCATTCATAGGACGGATCTAACACCTAGTCAACTTAATTAGAAAAGTAATGATTTAAGGCGTGGCGTTTAGCATTGTAAATAACTTTTTTAAAAATTATCTATTTATTTATAATTGTGCCACCCAGCCACTCTGCCTTTTTTTTTTTTTTTTTCTGTCATTATGCTTCACACAAAAATTTTAAAAGAGAAAGAAAAGAAGAAATTTTACCCCCTAAATTTTGCAAAGTGCTCTAAAAAAACATAATTTTTTTTTTTTTTTATCTATGAGAACTTACTTTCTTTTTGTTTTTCAGCTTGATATTTGACAACTCCGAAGTCTAATAATAATAACTAATAAATGATGAATATGCATAAACTTTTTTTCTAATAAAGAAAAAGAAAAAAAATTAGTAAGTAGGGTTGAAACTAGAAATGTTAAATGCAAAAACTGATTAGTAGTCTTTTATTAGAGCTTTGGAGGTCAATCCGACAAAATTCATATCTATGAGACGGGTGATTATCAACTTTATTTCAAGATTCGAAACCCGGATGGGCCTTTTTGCAATAAGTCCCGGAAGTGGAGGTTTTATCTACAAATTGTTGAAACTTCCGAATTGAAAATCCGCTCATAAATCTTCTTCCTTTCTCCGCAGAATAAACACAAAAGCCGCCGCCGCCCACCACCACCGCCACACCACCACTTCCACCGCCGCTCCACAACCGCTACCGCCACAGCTACCGCCGACTATTTGTTAGCTACTTAGGCTCTGCATCTTTTTAAAAGTAAAAAAGACTGCAGAAGCTTTTCTTTTCCGAGGGTCTTCAGCAATGGAGGATGACTATTTCTTAATCAGCAGTAAGAGCCCATTAAACCTAAAACTGTTTTTTTTCTTTTTCTTTTTCTAGTTTTGGGTGTGCCCAGGCTTCTCTTCCCCTGGTTATTGATTATCTGTTTCTGGATTTTTTTTGGTTTCGTATTGTTTTGCTTGTGCCTGTTGGTTGATAATTTTGAGGTTCCTTTTTACTGATACGAACCACCTCTAGTATCCCAGTGACGAAAAATTTAGTAATCTGAAAGGTTGCCGATTCTAATTGGTGCTCCCTTTGGCAATTTCATTTGCTGAGGTAGAGGAACCAGGGCTTTCCCCCCATGTGGATATTATGGGCATCTATTCTGAGGGATGCAACTATTAGTGAAAAACCACAAAGTATTTGGATAATACCAGAAACTACTTTAATTGAGCTTCATCTTAATCTCGCATTTTTGGTTTTCGGACTAAGTTGTGAGGCATTTTCAAAACACAACTAGCTACTGTTTCCCTTTAGTTCTGTTTTTCAAAGCTAATTTGTTATTCGCGCGGATGCGTAATCAAATAGTGCTTTATTTTGATAGTTACTCCATTTTATTGATTTCTGAAGGTTTTTCTATTGTACAATGTACATTAGTCGTGTATGCCCTGAACGTTAGGTTTTCCATTTGATATTATGCCTGTATATGTTCGACCTTGCATTTTCCTGGAAATATCAGTCATATTAATTTTGTTTGGAACTACCAGCAGTTATCAGCGGCAAATGTTGAACCAGACACATCTGGGAGGTATTCTATAGCCGATGGAAATTGTTGAATCCATCTTTGACATACCTGTGCAAGATCCTCCTGGGGAAGAATTTTCGTCGTCCGATTTGGAGTGGACTAGATATGGAAGTAAAGAGCCCTACGAGGATGTAGCACTCATACCTTATGACCGGGTTGATGCATTTATTGTAGGAGAGTGTCTTAATGCAGAATACCCTACTCAGTTTCACATTGAGAAGGTACGGAAACGAGATAAAAAGAGTTTGAAGGAGTTAAAAGACGATGACTTTCTTGAGTATAGGCGGTAAGGTTTCATTTTCTTTTTAATTTACTGTTATTTTATTTCTTTTTGGTTATTTAATCAGGTTGAAATGCTGGTTTTAGACCGGATCATATGCTCCTTAGGGAAAAAGTGGAAGTATGACGTGGTTTAGTTGATCTTGGCATCTGAACATGTTAATTATCAAAGAACCTGTAGTAAGCCTCCTTGTACTTTCCATTACCACCATAAAAAGCTGAAGCTTTCGTGCGTGTCAGTTTTGAACTCATCATTTCTGTCTAAGAAAATCTCTGTGATGTGATATTATCTGGCCGTTTGGTCCTCTGAACTTCATGTCACTTTGAAGTTTTTTTTCTTTTTAAGAATAAACAAAACTCGAGTCCTGGTTAAGCTGCCTTGTGAACAGCATGAATTTTACTGGAACATGATGGATTTCTAGATAAGCAATCAAACATCTGTTTTTCTTTGTAGTTCTTTCACTTCTCCAACCGTTTGCATAGCGTCCTTAAATTTGAAGAAAAAGAAAACTGAGAACAGAAAAAAGAACTTGAAGGAGAGAGAGCAAGGATTAGTTCTTTGCTGATCATTTCCCCTGTTTGCTGCAGGTACTGGTGTTCCTTTGGCCCTGAGAATTATGGTGAAGGTGGGGATATACTACCAAGCCGTAGATATCGACTCAACACTAGAAACCGTGCTGCTAGACCCCAGTCAATGAGAGGCTGTACATGCCATTTCGTAGTCAAGCGTCTAGTTGGCCTTCCAGATTTTGCGCTTATCATCTATAACAATAGGCAACATGTAAACAAGTTCGGTACTATCTGTCATGGGCCACTCGACCGAGATGCTATTGGCCCTGGTGCCAAAAAACTCTTATATAATAGCAATGAGATTCAACAGCAGACAATGGCTATGATTTATCTCGGTATTCCTATAGAAAATGTATTGGAGAAACACATTGAGGGTGTTGAGCGTTATTGTGGTCCCAATACTCAAGTCAAGAATCTTGCTTCTCAATATGTGCATAAACTTGGCCTGATTATCAAGCGTTCTTCTCATGAGCTGGATTTGGATGACCAAGCCAGTGTTAAGTTGTGGGTCGAGCGGAATAAAGAAAAAGTTTTCTTTTACCAGGACACATCAGAAAAAGATCCTTTCATCTTGGGCATACAGACAGAGTGGCAGTTACAGCAGATGATTCGTTTTGGTCACTGCAGTATTATGGCCATGGATTCAACTTTTGGTATAAAGAAGCTAAAGGTAATGAATATGTTCAATGCGTCTGTAAAATGGTTTGAATTGAAGTGGCACTTGTTTCAAATTTTGCTTGTGAGTTGTGACACTGCTCGTCTTCGAAGTTGTACCCCTTTCATAATTTTTACTTCTATTGCAGTATCCTTTGTGCACGCTACTTGTGTTTGATTCACGGCAACATGCACTCCCCATTGCATGGATAATTACACGGAGTGTTTCCCCTACTGATGTGGCAAAATGGTCAAAAGCTCTTATGGATCGAGTTCGTGCAGTTGATATTGGATGGAAGGTCAATGGATTCTTGGTTGATAGTGCAGCATTGGAGGTCGACCCATTAAGGTTAGTTTTACTATGGTTCGAAACTCTTTATATTGATATGCTTCTTCATGTAAACTCAACTTATTGTTTGTTGGATTTCAGGGAAACTTTTTCCTGCCCTGTCCTCTTCTCCCTTTGGCGAATTCGTAGATCATGGCTGAAGAATATTCTGAAAAAGTGTAGTAACATTGAAGTCCAGCAGGAGATATTCAAACGTCTGGGAGAAATTGTTTACAGTATTTGGGGTGGAATGTCTTATGAAGTTTCTTTGGAATATTTATTTCAAGATTTTGTTGATCAAACTGCATTCATGAATTACTTCAAGGGGGCTTGGATGCCAAAACTTGGTGCGAAAACTTCCTCTTCAGTAAAATTCTTGGTTATGGTGTAATCATCTTTGCTAATGTTCTATCTTTTCTGTGACAGAAATGTGGCTTACAGCTATGAAAACTACTCCACTGGCGAGTCAGGAATCTTCTGGTGCAATTGAAGCTTACCATGTGAAGTTGAAATCGAAATTGTATGATGACTCACATCTTGATACATTCCAACGCGTTGATTGGTTGGTGCACAAGTTGATCTCAGAGGTGCATTCCAGCTATTGGCTGGACAGATTCGTAGATGACAGCGACTCATTCCAAAATGTGAAAGAGGACTACATTGCTTCCACGTCATGGTACCGGGCGTTGCAGATTCCCGATTCTGCAGTTACAATGGATGATAATGAACGTCTTTTTGCCAAGGTATCAAGTCAGAAAGACAGCGAAAGAACGCGAGTAGTATGGAACCCTGGATCAGAATTCGCCTTTTGTGATTGCGAATGGTCAATGCAGGGAAACCTGTGCAAGCATGTTATTAAGGTGAATATGGTCTGTGAGAAGCTTAAATCCTGCCAGCCCTCCTTGTCGTTTCAGTCATTGAGTAATATCTTGACGAGATTACAGCTGAAACCTATGGATGATTCCATGGGGCTTGATTTAGCGACGGCCTGGACCCACCAAATGTTTGACCAAATTCAGAAACTTGTTGAACTGAACAGTTGTAATGAGATCGGTAGCATGTTAAAGAATATGCCCTTAAAGTGGAGTAAAAGGAAATGCAGAACATCATCTGGGAAGCCACCAGGTAGCATTAGGGCTTCGCCATCAAGTTCAAAGGCCAATGCTGCAGCACTTAAAAAGAGTAGGAATAGAAAAAGGAAGAGGTTATCTTGCATCAGGTGATTTATTTTTTTCTTTTTTTTTTGGGATTCATTACTGCAGAAATTGTACATGAAGTATCTTCCAGTCCAAAAAAAATTCCTGATCCAAAGTAGGTTTTTTGTGAGAGGCTCAATATTTACCCGTTTTTGGTCAATATTTGGTGTCTTTGTATCTATTTGACATTTGATAGTGATTTGTTTTAAAGTCCTAATGGAGAAGGGTTAGGTGATTGCAAAATTTTACAAGTCAAGTCATTGCTGATTAACACTATATTGGAGAAATGGAGAAGGGTTGGTAACTAATATCTTGTATTAACAAAATTTTACAACAGACAATCTTTTGTTTTAAAGTCCTAATGGAGAAGGGTTAGGTGACTCTTTCATATGTGATTGTCAAGTCATTGCTGAACTTGAACCGATTCATGAAGCTTTGGAAGTAATATTCTAAGAAATCCCATAGTAAGAAATTCTTGAGTTCATTGTACATGTTAATTAACACTATATTGGTTACTGACTTACTGCAAAACTCATCCCGCTCTAGTCTCTGTTATTTTGGTCCGAGTCTTAGTTATTTGACAACTTCCTGTTGACGGACTTGGACATTCAGACTTGCTGAATAATCTAAGATGTGGCCGTAATCCCAAAAAGACTTCGACAATCAAGTTTATATGAGTGATAATCCCAAAAAGACTTTACAGTTTCTTTTTAAAGATTTTTTTCTTTTCACGCTTCTTCTTTTCTCTTTGACGCTTATGTTGGATATCTAACTAGACCATCAAATGACTTTTGATATGGTATCATCAAGTAGCCTTTTGCACCATCACCTTAATGTATCAAATAATCCTGAATATTATGTACTCCCTTTGTTTTAAAAAATAATTTACAATGAATTTTCATTATTGTCTCAGAAAAATAACCTATAATGAAAACTTATTCTGGATTACTTTTCTGAGACAGAGAGTACATAATTTTCAGCACTACTTTATTGATTCAAGATGGTGGTATAAAAGTCAATGTGAATTAATTTTCTGAGACAAATGAAATATATATATATATATATATATATATATATAAAGGAAAGAAAATGCATATCACTTCTCATGAGAATCCATGATATTATATATATTAAAGCAGAGTTCTTAATCGACACGTGTCGTCCAGGGAACAAGTTTAGCCAATTGTGCCACGTGTCGTCGCCAAAATTCTCCTTCATTAAACAGTTAAAAATTTATTACTAATACGTAACATTATTAAATTGAATTAAGTATTTAACTAATAGTTAATTTCAGAAAAATAAACACGTTTTTGGTAAGTATTGACAAATATAAGACATAAGAAAATATTAATCATCAAATCAATAATTGTATTAAGAATACAGTTTGAAACTAAGTGTAGATACATTAAACGTAAATTAATATTATTTTTCAGATAATTCGGCTTGATATATTTTCCAAAAATTAAAAGATATTAGTTAGCAAAAAAAAGGATTGTTGCAAAATAACTATATTACGAATATAATTCGAAACCAAGTCTACCTATATTATAAGTATGTTAATATTATTTCTTAGATGATTGGTATATTTTTCATAAATAAAAAGAAAATACTTACCAAAACGAAGAGATTATTTACCAAATAATTATACGAGTACAATTCAAAACTAAGTCAGGATACATTAAACATAAGTTATAATATTTTTCTGATTATTCTATTTGATATATTTTTCAAAAATAAAAGTAGATTAGTTACCAATAACAAAAATAATATATTTGTTACCAAATAATTATTCTGCGAATACAATACGAAACTAAGTCTGGATAAATTAAACGTATGTTCATATTATTTTTCATATTATTTCATTTGATATATTTTTCAAAAATAAAAAGAGGATAGTTACTAAATAATTATACTACAAATACAATTCGAAACCAAGTCTGTATACATGCAAGATAGGTTAATATTATTTTACAGATGATTCTATTTAATATATTTTTCAAAAAATAAAAAGAAATTAATTTAAAAAAATAAAAAGAGATTAGTTACAAATAATTATATTTATGAATACAATTTGAAAACCAAGTCTGGATTCATTAAATGTAGATTAATATTATTTCTCAAAATATTTTATTTGATATCTTTTCAAAAATAAAAAGAGATTAATTAAAAAATAAAGAGATTAGTTAACGAATCATTATATTACGAATATAATTCAAAACTAAGTCAAAAACGAATCATTAAATGTATATTAATATTATTTTAAATGATTCCATTTGATATATTTTTCAAAAATAAAAAAAAAATAGTAATAAAAAATATAAAAATAAGTTGCCAAATCATTATATTACGAATACAATTTGAAATAAAGTTTAGATACATCATACATATGCTAATATTATTTTTTAAATAATTTCATTTGATATATTTTCCAAAAATAAAAAGAGTTTAATTTTATAACTAAGGAAAAAGTTATGAGTCCAGAATAATAAAATTGGTCTTGCACCCGCCAGGTACAGCCTGTTTTGCTATTTAAAAAACTAAGGAAAAAATTTGGAGTATGGATAAGTATTTCAAAATTATTTATTAGTTTTTTTATCATGGTTTTTTCCCCCTATTTTTTTTTCTTTATTTACTTTTGTTGGAATTTTCTTTTTTTAAAAATTTTTTTTGTTTTATGCCTAAAAAAAGATTATTTATAATATTTGATTCAATTACTACAAGTAAACAATATATGCTTTTTAGTCAATATATTTTAAGAATATACATGATTTAAGTTTTATTTTTGAAAATAACTTTTATATACTTATATCTCTAAAAAAATATGATAGTAGACAATTGATCATATTAATTCGTATTTAGAATATTTTTTTGAATATATTATCACTCGTAAACAAGAAGCATATTAGATAGTTGAACATATTAATTTGTATTTTAAAATACCCTCTATGGCTAAGAAGTACTTTATCAAAGTAGTAACCTTATTGGACCAAATTAACTACAATTCATGATTAAATCTGTACATGGGCACGTAGTAATGATTTTTGGGAGAGGTTTGTCTTCCAAAAGTGACCTACCCGATTCGAAAACGGATTAGTTGGAACAATGATTTCAAACACCAGATGTACTATATTCCAAAAACGAAAAAAATAAATAAAAAAATATGACACTCTTGAATTTGGACTCCGAATGCCTAATATACCAAAAAATGGCATAATTAAAACATATGACACTTTTTATAGGAAAATAATAAAAAATTAATGTTAGTCTAAAATATAGTAAAATTTGCACAACGTATGGACATAATACTAGTATTTTTTTATATAACAAAAACACTTTATAATTTACCTTTGAATTCAATATTTGTAACTCTTTGTTTCATGCATTCACCAAATAAAAAATTCAAACCGAATAATAGTTGCCTTAAGAAATTTTGCCAAATAAAGAAAATCCACGACAAAAGCTTGTATAATTCCTAGTTACATTTTATTGTGCAATATTTACCATTTTATAATCGTAGATAGATGAATACGTAATTGGTATTCTTACACCGAGAATTTTCATAAGCAAGCCAGCGCTCGTCTGTACAAAACCTCTGCATGTTTCCAAGCGTTGTGGTAAAACCTATTTATATTTCCACTCTAATGGGGAAAACATTTGAAAATCAGGTGTTGGAGACTTGAACCAGTAAGAACAAGGTTAATTAATATTTAAAATTTAATTTTTTTTTCAAAACCCACTTTCTTTTTTCTTCTAAATTACTAATAGAAAAGTTATTGGGATATAAAAACATTAAAACTACGTACAGTAGAAGTTAATAATAAATGCAGTGGAGATTCTCTTACCTATATATTCTTAGGCTTTGGTTGGTTTTTTGGTTAGTTTTTTCAGAATTTTTAATTAATATATGTTCCATTTGCAGCATACTTTTTTACATTCTCAATGTATTTTTTTACATTTCTAATATATATTTTTACATTTCCAATATAAAAAAACACATTCAAAAAACAATCCAAACATAACCTTAGTGTAGCAAATGGATAAGAACAATTAAAAAAAATATCATAGTTCGGTATTTTTATGATTAAATTTATGATTACAAACCTTTAATTTTATCACCAATTGTATATTTAAGGATGAACTTTTTCCTTATAGAAATACATACATTGAACTCGGACAACTTTTTTTCATAAACCAAAATAAAAAATAAATAAATAAGATCTTTTTTAAGACAAAAAAAATCTCTTTCCCTTCAACAAAAAGGAGACAACATTATGAAATCAAAGAATCTAATACAATAAGTATTTGTTTTGTTAGGTAACCATTTCTTTTTTAATTCGATAAATCATCGTACACATGCAAAAGGGGTTGCTTATGTGGCAAGCTGTTGTAAAGCTATGAATTGGCATCACACATACGCAAAAAAAACTTTATAAAAATGAAAGCTTTATATATGTATATATATGTATATATACACATACACACTGAGGAAGCTACATCGTAGCCTAGAATATAAAAACAACTCAGGAGATGAATTGAACTGGGATAATTTATGGCTAATTTTCCTAGGATTGAATCGGGAGGTATTCACAAAACGTTTAAAATAAAAGTTTTTGATCGTCCGCTAAAAGGTTTGAACGGCAAAGGAATCAATCAAAAGAAAGTAACAACATTAACAAAATGAGAGACCTAACAAAAAGATAATCCATCAAAAGAAAGTAACAACATTAATAAAATGAGAGACCTAACAAAAAGATGTACCATGGTCCCTAGAAGAGCACGTTGAAAAATATCTTGCTTCATTGCATAGGTTCTGAGAGTACTATAAAAATGCCATTCGTGACGAAAAGAAAAATGACCAAGTCTGTGGTATAATGCAAGTACATATTATATTTAGCTAGATAATCAACTAGGACATCTTTTTTTTTAATTTTTTTTTTTTATCAATATAGACCTCAAATTAGTCAATGAGCAAAATCTACCATAAAATATAGTTAAAAGATCCTTATTGATGTTCCTCCATTATTAGTTAGCTAAGATGCATGGTTCTAAGTTCCTTTCCGGTTAAGATTAAGGTATCCTCCCCTTTAATTTATTATAATCCATTCCTTCATTTTCAAGACCCTTTTGTTACTGTGAGCCCGTTTGAAATTCACATCTCTAGCGACAATTTTAGCTAGGAAAGAAAAATTTCTCGCTTTTAGGAGTTTTCACATTCAAAGGTTAGCAAGACAGAACAAAAGGAGGAAAACAATTAAACAGAACACGTACATACACACGTAAAAACAAATATATAAAAAAATCCTTCAGTCTCAAAATAAGAGTCATTCTATTGTTAGGAGTACCAAAACTAAAAATGTCATTAGCATGTATTCATGTAAAAGTTGGATAAAATGGGAAGAAGATTCACTGTTCTAATTTTATCAGATATCCCAAGGGATGTTTGTCAACTTCTACATTTCCACATCACTGAGCATGTTTGTCAACTTCTTCTGTCTGGCATCTTGTCGCCTGATCGTTTGTCATCTTCATCCTCGCCATCACCTTTGTTCCCTTGGAGCAAAAAAGAACTCTACAGCAGGGTCAAACATAAGAGAATGTCAAACAAGGCGCCCATGGCTTCACAACTTTTGCAGGTAAAGAAGAAGTGGTTTCAGAGCAGCAGAAGTGAATATGTGAAAGAATGAAAAATCGGCATGATAACGATGTAAAAGTCATGTACTACAGCGTATGTTCAATATAAAGAAAATGGCCTGTTCCTACTTCCTACTCAAAACGTTTTCGATAAATACTCAAAGCATACTACGAGGCCATTCTGCTGACCATAATTCTCATAAATAGCCAACTCAATTTAAATTCACTATCTTTACAAAATGTTAGCCTATTCACAACTCATTACACAAAACCTCGGTAACAAATCACAGAAGTTCAAACAAAACACTAGGATACCTACAGAAATGCTCGATATTGATGGCAGAACAAGGGGTGCATCAAGTCAACAAACCTATGAGATGACTAAAACTCAAACCTGCATCAAACCTGATGCTGTTATCTATCACATTATATTTTGCAAGATACACACTGAATAAATTTAAGTTCAAACTTGGACAACTCTTCCATTAAACTTGGTTAGTTGGATATACATTGACATTGTATCACAAAAACATATTTGATTAACAAAACACTAAATTAATTACCAAAACGTCCTCAAAAAAGTCACAACATTCATTTCCATCCACAACTTCGCAAATACAGAGCAATCAACTACCAAATATACTGAAATAGAAAAAATCTTTAACGAAGGTTCACAATTTATGAACACGAAATGTGAGCAAGTCATCATATCCAAAAGAAATGGACAAGATTTATGCACTAGGCAATCAGATTTGGCTTCATACGCACGCTTTTTTCAACTTCTTCAGTTGCCAGCACTGAAATTTAGAGACCCACCCCTCTACAAACTAACAAAAGTAAAACACAACAAAATCCTTAATCAATTTCAAGAACTAACCTTTGTAATGAACTTAAAACAGGGAATACAATGAGATGGTGATCACATCCCATTAAATACTACTCCCTCCATTCACAAATAGATGTCGCTGGAGAGATTTCACAAAGTTTAAGGAGGCAATAATTATCTTGTTAAAATACTATAATACCCTCATTTAATCTTAATTCAATTGTAGTCCCAATAAAATTTAGTTCTAATACAGTTCTACATTAAACATTACTACAATTTCCAATGTAAGGGTAATATTGGAAAAAAATGACAAAATATGCCTCGATTTGTGAGAACGACATCTATTTTGAAATATTTGTTTTTTCCTCCAATGACATCTATTTGTGAATGGAGAGAGTACCTTATTCAACTCATTCATAAAATAAGATATAAGAGTCCTTAAACAGCAAACAGAATAAAAGGAGCAAATAGCAGTCAAGACAAACAGAAAAAAGTAAAGGCCACATGAATACTCAGGTGCGTGGAGATCAACATACAGTTCTTATCAAGAACTTACCCATAAGCAGAATATCCACAGCCACTTTTAGCAGCAGATAAGAGTGCAGCTTATGCTGCTACAGCAAACACCAGCGGACAGAAGAGTTTACCTATCACCATCCACCTGAGAATGATGCAACAATATTCATCGATCTAATGCTCAGTCACAATGACCATCCTCAGTCCCCACAAATGATTCCCATTAAGAGGGAGAAAGAGAGGGTCCAAAATAAACCAACAAAAACAAAACACACACAAATCCATGAAAACGACCTTATCCCACTTGGACTTCTTGTTCCTCCGACCATCTCCGGGTACAGGATCCATGGCAGCATAGCTTGAATTAAATCCACCACCAGGCATAATTTGTACTATCGAAAGAGAGCATCTAATTTCAAATACAAATTTTCAAAGCGCTCACTTCTATGAACACAAGAATACAACCACAACCAAAAACACAAGACAATTTAGAAGCTCAGAAATATGGACCTGTAATGGGTAGATTAATTTTCGGCATCGCAACTGTTCTTATTTGCATTGCTCTAGAGAAGAAATCTACTTTTGGGCTTCTCTTCTTTTCTAGCTCTTTTCGTACCATTTCATGCTTCATATCAGCCTCTGCATGCATTAGAGATATGATTACAACCACTTATATACAACACAAGAGAAAAGAAAATCAATTTTTTTTTTTAGAAAAAAAAAGAAATCATGCACGAGCTTTCTTTGCAAAGTAACCAACCATAAACATGACAGACAGAGAGGACAAAAGGAATCTTCCATATAAAAGAGATCCTTAACAAGCATGAAAGGAAATACAAGGCATAAAACTTAAGACAGAACTCTCTGAGAACTGATCCAAGAAAGAGGCTCATGTAGGAATCACACTCAACCTTCCAAAAGCAACTGTTACACAACCACACCACCAAACCCCCTTCCACAACAAAAAAAAAACCCCTCTCAAGAGCAATTAAAAAGAGGTTCAAACAAGGTCCAAACCAAGTTGCAAAGTTAGAGATTAGTTGGCTTTTCTGTTTTCGTCTTTTGCTGTCCCTTCCATTTGAAAGGTGAAAAAGGAAAAACAACAAGATCCATGATTATCAACACTATTGTTAGTGGTTTCTGCTATTTATCATGATTATCAGCCAAAGGAGGCAGCCCAAGGTCAGCGTAACTGTGTTAACAGCTCAGAAGACCTCATGCACTGGTGGCAAAGGACAGAACACAAAATTGCCATCTTGCCATCAAGACGAATTTAAACTATGCAGCTCCAAATCATCTACGTGGTTAAGGGTCTTCGTTCTCCATCTTTTTAAGAGGGTTTAAGTTGCAGCCATCTTTTTCCTTCCCTTCATTACACAGCAAGCACATACAACAAATATATTAAATGCACAATGTATGTATATCCAATTCAAATCTTCCACACACACTTACTTTTCGCAGAAGAAAGTCATTACAAGTCCATAAACCTCCCACACCATGCAGATTACTGATTACCATTTTTCTTCTACTCTCAGATTATTCTACATTCTTCTATTGCGTGGCTCGACGAGACAAAATTTCATTCCAAAAGATGAAGTATACAATTTAAAAAAATTCTTTAAGCAAATAAGGCCACATTGAATATTACAGAATATATCCATAAAATCGCATATTAGACAATGCAATAAAGTATCGTAAAAATACAATTCACAAGTTCTTATAATTTGAAATCAGAACCATCCCAAGCCTGATACCAAAAAGTTTAAGAAGAATCATCCTTCCATCTACTCTAATAAAGACATAATTGCTTGCACTTGATAATTTCTCCAGTTCAATAAGAATCTCAATTTCTTCAGTTGACAAAAAGTTTAAGAGAAACAATGAACACAGAGAAAATCACAAAGTGAACTTGTTTCTTCTTCTTCTTCTTCTTCTTTTTATTTTAACAACTTAAAACCATTAAAGATCAGACAAAGGTTCAAAACAACTCCACTTGGAGGAAAAGAAATGTTAATATAATAATAGCGGTAATTTAGAGGAGTTGACACAGCGAAATTTATGACTAATTAAAATATTTCATGCTTCAATAGCATTTAAATTCTTTTTACCTATTTCATCGTAGAAGTCACATTTTTCATACCCATGGGGATCGAAGACATCCTTGCTGAAACAAGATCCCATCTCATCAATGAGTTGATATGTAACAACATGCCTTAAAGAGTCTGGATTTCGGTAAACGTTTCGATTACACACCTCTGCATTATAGCTTCTTCCCTTATGCTTCTTCAATGCAAGAAATTCGATTATTTTCTCCTGCAAGCAAAAATAAAGGATGGATATGAATCCTGAGGAAATAGCTTTGGGCTTATAAGTAATTAACTGTCTTAAATGGGCAGAGCAAAGATATGATCAAGAAAAAAAACAAAAACTTTCCCAAAAAATCCCACAGGAAAAAAAAAGAAAAGGAAAATATATAAGAGACTCCCCACTGGAACACATACAAAGTGAGGTATGCTCGAGAGAAGCAAATTCAAAGTCAACCATTCTTCTAGAAAAGAGGAACACAATCATAACTAAATTCAAATTAAAAGGATTCATATAAGCTCTACGTCAGCACCTGCCGAATCCTATAACACATATAAAACAGAGTCCCAGGGACATTTCCCTAAACCCAGAATAGATAGTCTATACCATTTATAGTACATATAACCCAAAGATGCCCTTTTAATTACCGATGGATTTACTCTGTCTTCTTCAACGAAATATAACATTTATTAAGTTTACCAAAAAACATAGTAAATATACAACAAGCATAAACTTAACATACTTGCAGTTCATCTGAGCATTTGGCTTTTGGCGGTGGAGGCAAAAACTTGTTTAATAGATCAACATAGTTTGACTCTTCTGCAGTAGCCATAAATGCATCTTCTTCCTCAGCTGATGGGGATTTGTTGACAGCATGGTTATTATTACCATCAGTATCTACTTGATCATTTAACTCAGCCAGATGAGGATGAGCTGTTTGTTCTTCATCATCCACCTCATCATCCTCATCACCATAGATTGAGAGTAAAGCTATGCCCTCAGAAGCTTTCTTGTTAAGCAAAGCCATTTCTGAACAGACCTATCGGGAACAATAAAATAAGTAGAGTTTAAAAGGCTTGGTGAGATAAGAGACTGATTTGAATTATAGGAACAAGTATACACCACCAAGCATCAAGTACATAAGATAATATATTTGAAGCTGTAAAGGCTGAATCATGATATTGAATAAAATGTGAGAACTACTCATAGAGAGGTTTTCTGGAAAGCAAATAGGATTCCTAGTTTTCCAAGCTTTCGAAAAAAAAAAACAAATAAGGAAACAATCCTTACCACGCATAAATGGAGTGGCAGAACAAAATTTGAAAACTCATCCTTTGGTTCCCATCTCTTTAGAAAACTCCAACTCACAGGACAAATTGTCCCAACATAAAAGGCAAAACGTCCCAATCCAAATTCCAAACAGAACGACAACATTTAACAGTAAACCATATAAAAGGCCTTCATTTTGCATAAAATAAAATAAAAAATTTAAAACAAAAACAACCCGAACCGGAAATATTGGAGAAGAATCAAAGAACTCCGATAACCGAGCTTTTATGCCAATTTATTTTAAGAATTCATCTCACGGATAAGTTGAACCATAAAAATAAATTCATTGCATTAGCTAAACACACAATTAAGGTACGATTAACCTAATTAGAACTCCAAGATCCATACTCACGCAAGTGAAAGAAAAAAAAAATCATCAGAGAAAAATCCTAATCCACGAAATAAGAAGGGCAAAATAAACACACACACACACACACACACACACACACAAGATTTATAACCTTTAGCGTTGTAATTTAACCATTCAAGATTGGAATTCGAGCATCAAAACTTTAATACTAGAAAATAAGAAATTAAATACGATAAACAGGGTGCAGAAGCAGGAGAACGAAAAGCCAACGAAAAAAAGAAGATTAAAATAGGAGGTCATACTTGACGGATCGCAGAATGCAGATGGATCTACCAAGACGAAAATCCTGATGAAGAAGAGGGAACTCAGAATGGTTGAATTTTGAATATCTGAATTTATATGCTGATAAAGGCGGTCGGGTGTGGGTTGGGTTTCTCTCCGAAGATCTCTGGCCCAGTACTCCATCAGTAATCTCATCATAATCTTGGCCCAATACCAGTTTTAACCTTGTTTCGTAAGTAGTCCATTGTCACACGTTTTGCACCCAACTAGTTTTTTCACCCATTGTCCCAAAAAAACTAATACTCTCTCTAATCAAAAATAAATTTCGTTTAGTAAAATAGAGAAATGCCAAAAAAGAAATGCCTTTTTTTGATTCCGATGCAATATTTGGCCAAATTTCCTCTCAAAAGAAATAGTATTAATGGTTGTAATTCATTTTAATGAGGTAGGTTAAGGATATTATTCTAATAATTTATTTATCATATTTAAGTGTTTTTTAAATTCTGTGTAAGCTATCTAATGACACTTATTTTAGAATAAAGGGAGTAATTGATAAGTTAATTAATTAGGTTTTAGGTAGTTTCTTACAAAAAATTATTCCTTTGAGATTAAAACTAGGTGGGTTGAGTTTCTGAATGCTTAGTTGTCTCCTTTTAGTGTAAGAATTGTATTTTTATCAAAGTTTAGGAAATTTGTATGCAAAGGGTCAACCGGAGTGGATCCTTTCGGCTATGTATAATTCTTTTAACATTTTACACAGAGAAACACGTACCAATTTATTTGAAAAGGTTTACTATAGCAGCTTTATAGTAAATATTCTTTCTTCTTTCGATATGCGGGAGCTTCAGTGGCTAGAAAGATGCAGAGCCAATTGCTGCATTACAAGCCCAATTGCCTCCGATATGAAGTTCTTACTTCTTAGGCTGTGTTGGATGGAACTAAGAAGCAAGGATTTTTCTTTTCTTAATCATCCTGAAATGATTACTATGATTTGCAACAAAATGTATAATTATTTTAGGACATTTATTTTTTGTGTTTCGTTGCCACAAAGATATATTTTATCGTTTACTATATTAAATGTGCATTATTATGAAAATAAATCATTGGCTAAAAGGATACATACAGTCCTTTGCTTCCCATGTCAACTTTCCTTGTGCATGAAATATCTGATATTAGAATTTGAAAAGCTTATACAACGGTATTGAACTTAACCTAAAGTGAATCATTGAGTTATTATTTGGCTGTGACTGGGGGTTATAATGATATTTTATGGACTAAATTACGCTTAAATGAATCCTTTCATTTCAAATGATTCTTTACTCTTATTGCGACAATTATTCTGTGTCTAATTTGTTCCATCAAGTACAACTCTATACTACTACACCTCATTGGTTCTTGGTACTTTAAGCAACTAAATTTATACGAGAATGAAATGTTTATTTTCACATGTCCGAGTAATCCAGTTTCCCACTTGTACCTATTACCCCCAAGACTGGATAACCTAAACACAAGAGAAGGTTCTTGAGCTGATAATAGCTGTTCATATGACGGATGAGTTGCAAACTCAGCCTTAAGATGCTGTTTTACTCACCAGGGGTTTCCACATAAACATCTCTCTCAAAACTCCAATCCCCTCTTCAATTCCAGTCCTCATTCCTCCTAAACCACGTGAACTAGCTTGTATACTGGAGTGTATTCGATGTGGGTTAACCAAATTTCCCCTTCAAACTCCATGCAAATATTTGTACTACAAAACATAACCCAATTTATTACTTCCTTAATCCCACAATGATTTGTCCGGTTTCGATTTTCACTTTGAAACTTTTTAGTAGTACTAATTTGAATTAAAAAATGAATATCCGATAATCATTTCTCGACATTTTACAAATCTTTTGTATGTCCATCTACCTTATTTTTACGCACCGAAACTATATTACTCACATTAGAACGACATTGTATACTCTAGATGCTCGCTTATATAAATGAAGATGAGTTACGATCCGACAAGTATGTCATTGAGAACATCATGAAACAACGTTTGGCGGTAGTTACTATTATTATTATTATTATTATTATTATTATTATTATTATTTATTTATTTATTTATTTTCTGGAGTGGGTAGCTGGCGGGCTGGGTTGTTTGTTTGTCCGAGATGATTCGAGATGTGAGCATGCAGAAATGATAAAATAACCTGATGACAAAACATGTGATTTCATTTCAGGATTTGTTGATGGGCAGAGCAGAGACAAATAAAAATGTTGCGTCGATTGCAGTGTGCAAACAATGGCAATGTTGGGTCGAACTGTTGAGCGCCCTTATTGTTTCATTTGAGCGCCCCCGAAAGACGGACACGCCCCTACAAATGGAGGTAAGTTTTTTTTTTTTCGAAAGGGGGGAGGGACCTATGAGAAACGCGCCGGCCGTTAACGGCTGGCGCAGGAGAAACACGCCACCCCCGCCACCCCTATGGGGGTGGCGTGCAATAAACTCGCCTCCCTGTAACCTTTGCCTTAGGTAAAGGTGGTGGCGCCAGATTTGGCGCCACCTTTGTCCGGGTTGGCGAGCAACCACCCGAAACGGGCGTCACCCATTTTTTTTTAATTTAATAATTTTTTAAATAATTTTTTAATATATTTAATATTTATTAGTTTAATAAATATTATTGTTAGTTTAATAAATTTATTTAATTCATGTATTTATTTTATTTGAGTATTTGTTTGGTATTTTAATATTTGTTTAGAAAATTGGGTTTATGCTAATTAGGGTTTATGATATTTAGAGAATGTTTTTTAATTACGTATTTTGTTCATAGGTTGTAGTTGTTATATTAAATGAGTTAATTTCTTGTTAATAATGTATTTAGATTGTTATATGTTTTAATTATGTTAATTACGTAGTATGTTCGTATGAAATAGTTTGTTTCTTGTTAAATGGGTGTTTAGGTAGTATGTTAATGGGTATAGGGTTTAGGTGTTAGGGTTTAGGGTTTTTATTAAAATAATGAGTTTTTGTTAATAATGTATTTAATTTGTTATTAGTATCTATTAATTATCTTTAAAGTATAAGATCATTATATCGGATTATATATTTTGATTTTTGCTCATAGCAAATTATTTGTGGTTTAATATTATTAGAGTTAATTTAAGTTATGATATAATTCGTTTTTAATGTGTGCAGGATAGGTTTGATCACGGGGATGGAGTCGATTATAGTCCGGCTTTTGCTACAAACGAGACTTTTGCCACGAATAAGGAAGCTGTTGCATATATGAAGGGTATTGCGAATATCTACAACATGGAGTTAAGTGTATCCTCGCACAAGGATAATAGTACTATACTCCTTTGTCATAAAGGAGGCCGGTACCAAGATAAACAGGTGGATGAAAACGTGCGCGCCCGGCTCAATACAAAGATACAGATGACCGGATGCCTGTTTCGCGTTACTATTTACAAGATATATGATAGGTGGGCGATCCGTGTATATCCAGGTCCGTGGGGAATGGAGAACCATTCATTGAAAGATCCACCTCGAGTCAGCAGGCCATTGAGTGCAGAAGTGAAAGAGCTTATTAAGAAGTACTCTAAAGCTGGGACTAAGACAGTCCACATTTTAAGGGCGATATGGACACAATTTCCTGATGAAAAGGTTACCTCCAAACAAGTCTACAACTACAGAAATCAATTGCGTAAGGAGGGGTTTCCAATTCTAGATGACCTGGCTGCCATGGACGTCGTGGGAAAGGTGTTAGAGGTCGCAGAACAACACAAATACATCATCTTCACGGAGTGCGATGAAGAGACACAGAGGTTATCCCACGTGTTTTTCGCACATCCGGATTCTTTGTTGCTGTTGCGGACGTATCCTTGGGTTGTTTGTGTAGATTCCACATACAACACAAACAAATATAAAATGCCTCTTGTGGAGTTTGTTAGAATGACCCCTTGCAATCAGACCTTCCTTATAGCATATGCTCTTCGGAGTGATGAGACGGGGGACAGCTACCATTGAGCGCTGTGGCAGCTCTGTAACTTGTATGGTGATGATCTGCATCCGAGTGTCATCGTGACTGATCGGGAGCTTGGACTGATGAGGCCTCTTGATGATATATTTCCATCATCACATCACTTGTTGTGTACGTGGCACGTTTACAGGGATGTTGAAAAAAATGTGAAAAGAATTTTGAACGGAAATGCGAACATAGCAAAAAGTTTCGCGTACAAGACCTTTAAAACAGTGATCGAAGCTGCAAATCGGGAAGATTACGAAGAAAAAGTACAGTTTCTGGAGCATAATTGGTCCCAATTTCAGCCCGTTCTAGAGTATGTCAGGAAGATATGGTTAGTGGTGGCGGACAAGTTTGTGCATGCATGGACCAACACTTATTTGCATCTTGGCAACACCACTACTTATAAAGTGGAGAGCACACACAAGTTGTTAAAGGAATGGCTCGGCAATGCAAATGCTTCTTTTGAAACGGTCTGGCACAGGGTTCACATGTTACAGGAGACACAGCTTACGCAAATAAGGTACTGGATTTTGATCTCTTTTCAGTTAATTTGTGTGTTTCATTTGTTTAATTAATTTGTTATAATTCCTCCACAGGGAGAAACTACAAGAATCAAGGCAGAAAATAGGGAGGCAACACAACAAGTACCCTTTCTACCAATTAAGATGCAATGTTTCACACTACTGCTTGGATCTATTGAACAATGAGTTGGAAAGGGCACAGCAACTCGGAGATGATGTGTATTGGGAATGCAATCATTACCTGAAGCAAACTCATTCCATCCCTTGTGCATGTATACTTAAGCGTGTAATGGAGGCTAACGAGATTTTGACTCCAAAATACTTACACCAATTTTGGAGCACACTTGACATCGGTGAGGTTACAGAGAAGGATAGTTCGGATGATGTTCCCCCTCACAGATTGTTGTTCAGGCAGTTAGTGGAAGAAATGGACACTGCTGAGGAGCCAATACAGCGCGAGATCACCAGATTGATGTACAACAAACTTTACCTGCGCCAAGCCGGATGGAATGAACCGCGGGTTGGAAAGAGAGGCAAGGGCATGCCGAAGAAAAGAGGCATCTCAAAAAGAAAGCAAGACAAACCAAATGTGTGGGCATACAGGGACGGCAGTCAGGGTGGCACCAATACCAGCGATTCCATTAAAGCAGGTACGAGCCAAGGTACCTCGGGTCAAGGTGGGACGAACACCCGCAGTTCCAGTAGAGGCCATACGTCGGGAGCTGAAGATCAGAGCAGAGGTCCGATATTACTTTATCTTTTTAAATGTGTGAAATATTATTTTCATTTAATTAAAGCACTTTTGTTTCATGACGTGCGAGAGCAGGTACATGGACTGGGCAAGGTGGGACGAACACCAGCAATTCCAGTAGAGGCCACACGTCGGGTTCTGAACCCAATGGCGGAGGTACGATTATAATTTATATTGTTCTTAAATACTGATATGTAATCCAGAAATAATGATATTATTTTACTTGGTTAAAGACGTGATGCAGACAAACTTTTTCAAGTTTAGGCATAAAAATAAGATTCCGCAAATACTCCACAATCATGTTCAGTAATATCTTGATGTCGCTCCTAACGGCAATTGTGGTTTCCGCGTCTTTGCGAGTTGCATGTTGGGAGGGCAGAATAATCATGTTTTGTGCAGACAGATAGTGTATGATGATGTTATAAATAACCCCGGGCTGTACGGAAACCTTTACGGGTATGAAGCCAGTTTGATTTTGTGAGCGGTTTTAATACACTTGCATCAATGTTGTTTTATTTAAAACCTCCCTTTACTTGTCTTTGTAGGTGGGAAAAATTACCTGCAAGCCTAGAGTGTATACGGTGGACTGGTACCTCCGTAGGTCACTGGATGTCGACAGAGGACTTTTATCCCCTTGCTACATATTTCAATGCTGTTGTGTACTACTTCAGAACCGACGGTGTTGTAAATCTAAACGGCACCTGTTGGACTGTACTACCATTGATCGCACGGGGCGGGGCAACAAGACCAGAGTTCCAGATAGTTATATGCCACCTTGAGCCTTACCAGCACTTCATTCGACTCAATCTGCAGGGTGATTTTCCGATTCCCCCTATTCACCCCAGTTGGCGGCATGATCGTGATAGTAGTGTTATTGGTTGGGAAGTACCTCTTGAACCGAGAATGCAGCTATGGCGTACTTTGGTCCCGATAAGACCCACACGGGATTTTTGTGATCTCGAGTGATATGTTGTTTATATTTTTTTTTATGCAATTGGTGAAATTTTATGATCTCTTTACATAAATGTTCACATAAATGAAAATAAAATTGAAAATCAACATAAGTCCATAATGTTCACAAAAACGAAATCGTTACATAAATGTTTTTTAAAAAAAGCACTGAGTAGAATGTCATGGGACCTGACTGTGACGGAAGATGACATCATCCAGGCGAGTATCCCACTCCTCACCAAGACCCATATCGAGTTTCTTCAAATCGTCGATGCAACCTCGAGTCAACCTCTCTATCTCACGCATCCACTACAAATATTAAATAAAACCATATTAAACCCTTCAAGATAGTACGTGTGTTATTAAACAAAGGGAATTCCAGTTAGTATTGAACTTACCTAAGTGGTGCAGTTCTTCGCTGGGATGCGTGATGTAGACGGGACGGACGTCGGCAGTAGGAATGGATGTGAATGGCTCCTGTACCAGTCGAGGTAATCTACAGGTGCCTGTCCTACCTCAGTAGATGACACCGACATACAATGACTGAGGCTGATGCAGTCCGACTCTGGAAATCTAACCCAACAGTTACAGGTCTCGGCAATCAGACGATCAACAGAATACTTGTGCGCATTTTTCCTGCGAAACTGAGTGACCGGCGTGAGCGGCGCACGAGGTATGTACTGCACGTAACCAAGCTGGCGTAGCACTTTCTTCGGCATGTATGGCTCCTGGAAGTCGTGGTACATAATCCACCCACTAAAGATGGTCCTCGGATATGCTGCCGCATGTTTGCGACCAAATAGCTCCCATTCGACATGCGAACGTTACCAAAATTTATTAGTGTATACAATGAAATACCCCTTACGCATTACATAGAAATAAAATAGAAAGACTACCTCTTTCTCAATCATCGCATCGAGTTGCGCACAAATCTACTGGAGACGACTCTGAATAGGCTTGGGGCCCTTATAGCTAACTGGTGTCCAGTCTTGGGCTCTGGGCCAACCATCAACACCTCAATGTCCCCGTCTCTTGGGGGGCTGGAAGCATGGAAAATACTCATATATCCATCCCTGGAGAAGGGTCATACAACCAGCCATCGTGGTACACCCTGCTCGACTAGCAATCCCAAGCTGACGGTAGAGGAATGCTAGTGTACCGGATCCCTAGGAGTAAGCTTCAATATTTTCGATACCTCTGTGGAGATCGTTCAAAAGCGAAGCACTGATCCTGCCCCCACTCCTGTCCAGGAAGAGTGTCGAGGCTAACAAGATTCACACCCAAGCTTGAACCTGAATAACGGGGAGGACCCTGCGACAACACTCCTCGATCAATATGTCGCTCACACGTCCGTGGCTCCATGCACGCTTTAACTCAGCCACCGGCATCCCAAGCAATCTTGCGACCTGCATCTTCAAAATTTCCTCTTCCGGAGGTTGGGTCAACAAGTAACCATCAAGTGGAATCACCAAAATGTGTGCCACATCATGCATCATTATGGTCATTTCCCCAAACGGCAAGTGAAAAGAGTTTGTGTCGGGCTGCCACCTCTCTATGAATGCAGAAATAAGCGCAAGGTCATTGTCATCATACATGGTATCAATCAGATGATATAAACCGGTATTATGAGTCTGCAACTGTTCGTTCTCCGGCAACCTCGCATACCATCCATGCAATCCAGACAAACTCTTATTCGCTGGCTTCATCGTCAGGTAATCACTTGGTTCTCCATTCCACAACTGATAAGCAATGTGGCCAAGAAAACTAGGAATCAGTGACCCATCACATGGCCCGCCAGGTACGTTGTCCGTTACAACCCAATCATCAATTTCTTCGTTAGAAACCTTAGACCGTCTGCTAGTACCTGAAACACAAATAAAGAATAGTTGATAAATACTTAACGGAATGCAATTAAGAAATTGACCAAGCAGTAATGAATGGTGAAATATTTACAAATACGTACCTGATGACGTTGCAGCTGCCTCAGGATGGCTAGAGGCACCAATGGATGCGCCAACAAAATGGGAACGAGGCTGACTAGTCAGAGGGAGACATCTAAAAAGAGTACTTTGCGGGCCGGCATGATGAAAAGTAGTACTGGGACCTCTAAAAAGAGTACTCTGTGAGCCGACACGAACACTGGAACCACCAGGAGTGTAAGCTGAATTCAGGGCCGATAATCCAACAAGGGTCTTCCCCCTCGGGTAGGGTAAACTGGAGTCTAATCATCAGTACGACCAATGGGGTTCAGTACTGAGTTACCTCCAAAATGTATATCCCTCCTCTCAGGTGAGGAATACTCGGCTGCCTCATCCTCCTCATCCACATCGCCCCCCCCACTCTCAAAACTATCCTCTGCTGATTCCTCTCCCTCAAAATCATCATCATCTACGTTGGCTGACTCACCAAGTGGGCTAAACGTAGGATATACATTTTTCATTTTCTTTAAGTTTTTTTCTTTTTCTGCTCGATGTTCTGCATACAGATTGCGCGTAACTGCATGCCGATGTCCAAATCCCTCAAGAGGCGATATCCCATCCTATAAAAGTTTTAAATTTTACACGTAACTTTAATTAATCCGGAATGCGTCCCAAAAAAATTAATAATTTAGGTTAATTACTTTTATACAGTTTTATATTATTTAAATACCTAATTATAAAATTATCTACTATACATCTTAAGTGTACAATTTATTAAATCTACTAAGTACAATTAATAGTATCTGCATATTTTATTTTTTATTTTTTAACCAAAATTAAATAAATATTTAATTTATTATTTAATTTTAACCACAATTAAATAAATATTTTATTAACTCTAGTTATCTACTAACCTCTTTTTTTATTTAATTTTTATTTATTTATTTAATTTTCCTATACTAAGTATTTAATTTCTACGTTTAATTTTTTTTGAGGCTAATTACAATTAAACCGACTAATCCTACAAATATATTTTCTATAATTAAATTAATTATAATAACTTTCATAATTTTTCAAATTAATTTAAAAATCGTGAAACTCCCTAAAACTACAATTGAATTCCTAAAACTACAAAAGTATTATAACTAAATTATTTACTGAAGATTAAACATATACTTTTAATAATAATGTTTCCTAAATAAATTAAACTAACAAAAATGAATTCCTACCATTAAACTATAAAATCATAAATTTAACTAATACCGGCATAGTTAAACTAAATTTCATATGATTTACAATTACGAATAGTAACAATTAAATTAAAATTACTATACAATTCATAAATAATAATTAAATTTAAATAAATAATATAAAAAATTAATATAATACAAAAACAAAAACAAAAACCGGCGCCGGTAAATCTGGCCACATGGTGAGACCTTTCTCGCCCCCCCCCTTTCGGCGGCGAAGAAAGGGGCGCCACCCCAGCCCCGGCCGGCGAAGGAGAACCGCGCCGGGGCAAATAGAGCGGGCATGCAGATTCGCGCCAGCTCTACTTGCCCCAGTGCGGTTCTCCCTCGCCGGCAGGGCTGGTTAGTTTTTTTTTTTTTTAAAAAAAAAAACAGTTCTAATTCAATCTAATTGAAAAAACAATTCAAACTTTTACGTACCTTCAGTTTCCGTAGTTCTTTCCGTAGCCGTTTCATTCATTCAGCCATTGAATCTAAGTTTTTGGGAGTTTGGATTGAGAGAATTTGAAATGAAAGATTGATTTAGGAATTGAAAGAATGAAATTGAAACTCTTAATTTATAAAATCATGTAGGGGCAAAAAGGTCTTTTGGTGTTATATTATGGCGCTCAAGGAAAATTTTTAAGGCGTTTAGTAGCCTCCCTGATGTTGATATGGGAGACTTAACTTTCCTGTTCCTCTTTGATCCTTCTCTTCCATCCTTGTTTCTTTTTTTGGCTCAGTTTTGCATCCCTGTTTCCACCATTGATTTCTCTGTGAAGGAAAAAAAAATATATATATGGTGGATTACTTACCAGCTTTTGCTCGAGATCTGAAGGAACTTATATGGAGGCCACCCACCCCTTGGTGATTGCCGCTGGAGTGGTACAGTCATCGAATTCGAGCTTTGGATGGAGCTTGGATTACTGTATGTTTTCATCGGTTACGCTCAGAGGCGGCGGCGTAATGCGGAATGGACGCCATGTTCCTCCAAATCGAGCGAGTTTACAAGAGTCACATCTCCATTGCTGCTAAGGCACTTGGTACGGAATCATAGCCTGCAGCTCTGGCTTCTGTGGAAGCAGAAATTGGGCATCTCAACTCTCAAGGCGCTCAGATCATGGAAGCTTACCAAAAGAGATCATCCCCTTTGACGTCCAGTCAATCAATGTCAATTTCCTCCTATTCAGCACACCGGACTGATTCATTCGATTTGGAATTCTTTGCTGACATTCTAAGTTTGAGAATTAACCAACTTCTCGATTCCAGTGGTTATCGTTCCATTGGTATACTAGCATCCTTTTACAGGCCCGTATCTAAACTTGTTAAGGCTTTACTCCGGCGGCAGGTCGACGGTTTGGGGAAGAGAAATGATTGTGTACATTAAACAAATATTGGTCCAAATTGCTCATTTATGTTGCTGGCGCTGGTGTACTGATACTCTGTTTCCACCGGAATCCATGGCCGATGATGGCCAACAGGATGTGTTGGAGGATGAGGAGGCTGTTAGCCTACTGTTACATCTCCGCCCCAAATTGGATCCTCCTTCTCCCGAGTTCCTAGATGCCGCTCTGGGATTCCTTCCTACCGTAGGCTCTTATGATGCTGATGACGACAACGATGGTGGATTAAAAAAATGTGTACATTTTCTTTACCTTCAACTCAATTTCGAAACACAAAAATGAAGTTTTTGTTTTCGTTTCTCTTTAAATTCCCTCTAATGCAAGAGTACCTGAAGATGGATGAGAAAATAATGGGTGATATTGGTTTATTCGGACACATTAAAGGTACATATATGGATGCATCAGCAATCAAGGGTAGTCTTTTGATCAAGGATGACCGGGAATTTGCGTTTGATAGACCGGCCCGTTATACGACTCTAGGGTCCAACCGCCTCTTGGATGGCGGTGTAATATTACTAACCCTAGTAATATTCGGTATTTCTCAAGTCTATAAATAGGGACCATTATTTCACAATAGAGGTACGCTATCTTAATTACCAATCAACGTATACACGCTATTCTAATTTTCTGACTTAAACATCGGAGTGTCTACCCTCGGAAGGCCCCGGAGATTCTTTTTTGCAGGAAACCCTAGTCAAAGTTTCACAGCCGAGCCAAGGATACAATTCTAGGTATCGTCAAGTGGCACGCTCAGTGGGACCCGAAAACTAGGGTTTGTGTCACCAAGCTTTCTCAAGCTTTTCAAAACCTTTCAGTATGTTCCTATCGCTTCAGAACCAGGGTTTTTGGAAGATAAGATGGTGGTAGTCAACAGTCCTCAATTCAGTGCTGCATCAACTGGAAGACAGACAAGCCCAAAAGACGACGAAACCTTGGCACACTTCCAATGGAGGCATAAGCGGAAAAGAAACGACCGACGGACGAGAAAAGAGAACACCCCCGTGAAGCCAACTGACCAAAAAGGTCACCACAAGGTCCCTGACCCATATCAAAAACAACGATTGGCCAAGCTTGAAGCGGAACTGAAAAAGCTGAAGGACGACAATTTCTCCAACCAAAGGAAAAAGAGATATATCCTCAAAGAATACCAGCACTGTTGTCTGTTAGGCCTGCCCGATCCTACAAACCAAGATCTGGATGATTTGGTCGAGGAGAAAGAGGCAAGAAGGACTTTGGATCTTCTCGAGATCAGAAGAGGTAAATGCCCTGTCCCGGATGAAGGAGAAGAAAGGTCTCGCAAAGAAATCCCTTATTGTGAAGCTTCTCGTGCTAAACTTTCTGACACCCATGGTGATACTTTCTGGGAAGTGCTCAAGAAGACAAACCCAGTGGTTTATGCGGCGATCCAACAATTTGCACAAGAACACCAGCAAAAGAAACAATCCCGCAGACAGGACCGCCCAAAATCACTCAGTGTCGAGCAACTGTCTAAAAGGGATTAGGAACCTCCGAGAGGCAATGTCCACTCTCGACTCGGACCCAAAGCTCCTCCAGAAAAGTCCCTTCATGATTATCGTCGAGGAGGAGATCCTCCACCTCGACACCAAGAAAATCAAGGCAATCAGGATCCTTCAATTCGAGACTCGATGCGAAGGATGATAGGGATGATCGTGGATAGAAGCCCTTTCATCCCTAGGATTCGAGACTGTTCAAAACCTCAAGACTTCGACTTCCCCAAAGACTTCGCCTGTTATACAAGAGATTCTGATCCACAGCGTTTTTTAAACAAATATGTCCAAGTCATGAGAATCCGTAATGCATCCCTGGACTTCATGGCAAAAGCTTTACCATCATTCTTCGATGGACAGGCACGTTGGTTTGGACAGCTACCGGAAGGAAGCATTGACAGCTTTGAGGACCTCACAGTAAAGCTAGTTACCCGGTTCTTCCTTAGCATGCAAGTTACAAAGATGTCAATTGACCTATCATCGATCAGGCAAGGACATAATGAGAGCCTCTCAGACTTCCATCGCCGCTTTACCCGTGAATCTCTCCAGGTTGATAACTTCGATGATAGATTCGTACGGAATGGGTTCATCGAAGGTCTTAACCCTTGAGGAAAATCCGCCCACCTGCTAGTAAAGTTAACCACTAAACCTCCTTGAAATACACAGGAGATGTGGGCCACAATGGAAAGCTATATCCAACGGGAACAAACACTGAAAAATTCCCAAGAGTCTTTCTCACTTTCAGGGGAGCGGGGAGGGAAGGACAGGTATAAACCTCTGGCAGAGAGTAAGCCATCCCTGCCTAGGCTCGACAGACTACTCACCCCGTTGGTAAAACCCTGCAGAGAAATACTCCAAATCCACAAAGACGAGTTCCCGGTCTCGAAGCCATTGGCTCATAATCCGAACAGGTCCACGGATCGGTATTGCGAGTACCACAAGGACCATGGGCATGATACAGAAGATTGTTGGGAACTCAAGCGGGAAATTGAAGCAGGAGTGAAGTTTGGGAAATTCCAACAGTATGTGCAGAACACACAAGGCAACGCTCGAGGAGACATTCGCGGTCCTCAAGAAAAATCCGCTTTCCCACGCAAATTCCCTAAGCAAAATAACAATCGTGGTTCTCGCAGGTGATAACGGTTAAATTATTACATAAAAGCATTACAATTTTGCTCTTTAATTAGTTAGAAATTAGGGGTGTTTCTTAGATTTTGTTCATTTTACATAGCTAGTTTTGTGTTTCTAATTCACAAGCATGGGGAGACTATCTTGGAAGAAGAATCGGCTTCAAAACTCTATAAAAGGAGCTGCATTCCCAGCATGAAGAGGGATCTGAGTGGACATACAACACACAAAACACCACAGAGAGAGAAGAAGAGAGCAGAGAGGGGAGAAAACTCCAAAGGAAGAAGAAGTCAAGTAGCAGAAAAAGAGGAGTAACAGACCTCACTCGCCTGAGTGACCTTTGTCACTCAGGCGAGTGACCTGTTGCTCAGCCATCCAGATTTGCTTCTTCTCAATGCGTTTCTTCTTTTCTTGTATTTTCTGTAGTTTGTATGTGTAGTTAATTAGATTTCATTCTCTGGAACCTATGTAGTTTAAGTTCGTGAATGCATTCGGATGATTTTGTGTTTTGAAGTTAAAGCTTTCATCTACCTCTTGATTAAATTGGCCATTTGATTGATTGTGCACAGAACTAAGTGAATCCCGGAAGGGTAAACAAGGTTCAGAATCATTTAGCTTCAATTTATGACTTGGAGGTAACAGTCCAAGGTTCTAATTGAGATAGGAATATACTTGGTTAGCATAAACATTCATATAAGGCTTGAAAACTTCATGACTTTATGACTTGATTAATCATTGGAAAATAGTTTAATTGAGTTGATAAAGATACCTCTAGGAAAAATCGGAAGTGATTTAGAGATATATAAGTGCCTGAATGAGCATGAATTCATACCAAAAGAGTGCAACATTACAGCTTGATTACATAGGGAAAAAAGAATGAATATCTAGTTTGCAGAGTCAGTCCTTTGATTCGGAATTCTCACTCCCGTGAGTGAGGTTCCATTTGTCTTTCTTTGTCTTCAGTTCTGCAGAGTCACTTGCCTAAGACTTTACCCACTCGTGCAAGTGAGTGACACTCTGCAACTTTCTTTCTCGTTTGTCCAATTTTGTGTTCCCGTTATTTGAAGTGTAACCCGTCCCTGTGGGATCGACCTGACTTATCATATCTACAGTTTAAGTTGGTAAATTATTTTGGGGGCTTCGACAACCCACCAGCAGGAATAACCGAGGGAATAATTGGCAGTCGAGGGATAACTCACAGCAACCTGTCCAACAAACTCTCGATAACAGACCATAGCCAATCCAGCAGGTTCCTCCTCCAGATCCCGCTAAGCAGATTACACACAATGTCGGAGCAATTTATGGGGCACCCCTCGAGATTCCGTCGACCACGGCAATGAAAGCTTCAGTTCGACAGGTAACAAAAACTCCTCCACAAGAGCCCAGTCACAAGCGGTTTAAAGGAACGGAGGCAATACTCTTCACCAACAGCGATGTTGTTCCTGGAGTTTGCCCCCATAGCGATGCCATGGTCATTGAAGCTAGGAAACGTGGGGGTAAGCCGCGTATATGTCGACAATGGCAGCGCGGTCGACATCATCTACAATGACTATTTCAAGAGAATGAACATAAAAAATCCAGACTGGCGTCCGGTGACCTTACCATTGATTGGTTTCTCTGGACACACGATAATCCCAAGTGAAATATTTAGGCTTCCAATCACGGTAGGGACGTATCCTCGAACGGTAAATCTAACAATAGATTTCGCCATAATGGATGCTCCCTCGCCGTTTAATGTGATTCTAAGACGGTCGTGGATGTGCCAAGCCCGCAGCTGTCTGGTCACCATACCACTTGGTTATGAAATTTCCAACAGAGTATGGGGTAGGAATAGTGCAAGGGTGCCAACGCAGTTCTCGAGAATGCCTACTCACGGCAGTAAGAATCGGGAAGAAAATAGTAAAGCCGGAGCTAGCGGTCACCGTATCAGGATGTTATTCGGTCCAACAAGGAGTATTGTCGGCTGAGTATAAAGAGGGAAAGCAAAAAACCCAAAACACGGACCTCGATCAACCTCAAGGCCCTCCACTTAGTAGTAAGACAGAAGAGTTAATCCTAGACGAGAGAGAGCCAGAAAAAATCGTCAAGCTTGGTATATCCATTGAAGGAACGCTGCGGGCTGCAGTAATTGCCTTGCTAGCGACTTTCGAGATATTTTTGCGTGGTCACATCTGATATGACTGGAGTTCCTCGACATATCATCGAGCATAAGCTAAATGTATGATCCCGACGTCAAGCCAATTAAACAGAAGAAGAGGGTTTTTGCTCGCGATCGCAATGATGTAATTAATGAGGAAACCCTCAAACTGGTTCGGGCTAATATCCCCAAAGAAGTGCTTTGGCCCACGTGGCTGGCTAACCCGGTTCTTGTTCGCAAACCCAATAATTCCTGGTGTATGTGTCAAGACTACATGGATATGAATAAATATTGCCCCAAGGATTGCTACCCTTTGCCTGTCATCGATCAAATGGTGGAAGGCATCACCGGATACAAAACCCTTAGCTTTCTCGACGCATACAAAGGATACCATCAGATTCATATGGCTCGGGAAGACGCGGAAAAAACGGCTTACATCACGGAAATTGGGGTATACTGTTACGACAAAATGCCATTTGGATTGAAAAATGCTAGAGCCACCTACCAGTGTTTGGTTAATAGAGCTTTCCACAATCAATCGGAAGAAACATTGAGATCTACGTAGATGACATGATCATTAAGAGCAACTTGGACAATAGGGTAGTCGAGGACATGAAAGAGATTTTTAAATTTCTCTGTGGAATTAACATGAAACTCAACCCAAAGAAGTGTGCCTTCTGTGTGGGCTTTGGGAAATTTCTCGAATTCCAGGTGTCAAAAGACTGAATAAGCATAGATCCTACAAAGGTCGAGGCAATTCTTTCAATGGAGGCCCCGAAAACCGTCAAGGAAGTACAAAAACTTACAGAATCTCTGGCAGCGCTGATTAGGTTTCTGTCTCAAGCAGCTGAAAGAAGCCTTCCTTTCTTCAAGACCCTAAGAAAAGGGAGAGGTTTCCAATGGACTGAGGAATGTCAAAAAGCCTTTCAAGAGTTAAAGAAACATCTTAAGAAACTCCCCATGCTGGCAAAACCACAGCAAGGAGAAGTTCTATATATCTATTTAGCCGCTCGGCAAACGGCTATATCTGCGGTCCTCATTCAGAAAAAAGATGGTAAAGAGCTCCCCGTTTACTTCGTAAGCAAAGTCTTGCAACGGGCAAAATCTCGGTACACCCCCATGTAAAAGCTGATATTAAGCCTTGTGCTCGCTGCTCGACGACTGCGCCCCTACTTCCAGGCTCACCCTATACAGGTCTTAACCGAACAACCTATTCAGCAAGTCCTCCTCAAGCCGGAGGCCTCAGGCAGAATGATGAAATGGGCAGTCGAGCTGGGGGAACCCCATATCAAGTACAAGCCCCGCACAGCTATCAAGGGATAAGCATTCGCAGATTTCTTGGTTAAAATACCTAGAACTCCAGATACCACGCAAGAGTCAACACTGAGGAAACAGCTTCAGGAACATCCCTCCATAAATCCTCGAGCCTGGACTCTCTACGTCAATGGCTCTTTTTGTGAAGACGGGGGAGGAGCGTATATCATCCTTGCAAAACCAACGGTGTCTCGAGAAATCGAGGAAATCAAGGAATACGATGCTGAATACTCCTACGCCTTACGATATGGTTTCCCAGTTACCAATAATGTCGCTGAATACGAAGCAATGATCACAGGATTGAATATGGTCCTCAAGTTAGGAGTTCGAAACTTGGAAGTCTTTAGCAACTCTCAGGTGGTTGTCAAGCAAATCAAAGGTGATTACACGGTCCACGAGGAACACCTCCGACCGTATCTCAAGAAGGTTCTTGAGATTAAGGACAAGTTTGAGGAATGCTCTATTTCCCACATTCTCAGAACCTGCAACAAAAGAGCCGACGCTCTGAGTAAGCTTGCTTTGTCCAATTTTGCTAATCTCAGTCACAAGGTTTGGGTTGAGATACTCCCCGAACCCAGCATTCAGCCCAGAATTTCCCTAGCTATCACCGAGGATAAAGATATGTGGATGACACCATTCATCCAATTCCTCAAAAATGGAACGCTCCCCGATAGCAAGTCAGAAGCTCGAGCGTTGAAGCTGAAAGCAGTGGGGCACCGACATCATCGGCCCTTTTCCAAAAGGGGCAGGAGGGTTGCAATGGGTTATCGTAGCCATCGATTATTTCGCCAAGTGGGTGGAAGCAAAACCACTGGCCTCGATCTCAAGAAGGAAAGTGTTGAATTTTTTCTAGCAAAACGTAGTTTGCCGCTTCGGAGTGCCCAAGATAGTTGTATCAGACAATGGGACTCAGTTCGAGAGCGATCCCTTCAAGTCATGGTGAGCAGAGATGCAGATCGAGCGTCGATTCTCTGTCGTTGCCCATCCACAAGCGAATGGTCAAGCTGAGTCAATCAACAGAACCATTCTACATGGAATTAAGACAAGGCTGCACAACGCCAATGGGGCATGGGTCGAAGAACTTTCTCACGTTTTATGGGCATATCGCACCACAGCTCACTCCTCAACAGACGAAACGCTATACAGTTTAGTCTATGGAATGGATGTTGTCCTCCCAGTCGAAATTGACCTTGCAAGTCCTCGAATGATCAATTTTGTCTAAGACATCAACAATGAAGATATCCTAACTAACCTTGACCTGCTCGAGGAACAGCGAGATGCCGTAAAAGTACGGGAAGCCAAGTACAAAGAAATCCTCAGGAAAAACTATAATAAACGAGTCAAGAGCACTGACTTCGTGATCGGGGACTTGGTCCTTAGAAAAAATGAAGCCAGTTGAGCAGAAACCCCTGGAAAATTGGCGGCCAACTGGGAAGGTCCCTATCGAATCATTCAGGTCTCTCCATCGGGCAGTTACCGATTACAGACGATAGATGACACGGGAACCATTCTCCCCTAATGGTGAAACATTCAGAATCTATGCAGGTTCTATGTTTAGATTTTCTACATGCTATTTGCTACTTTATTTGCTGAGTGGTTTGTTGCTTTCATTTATTTGTATGTAATGCTAACCTGGGTTCTCGGGTAATTATTAATAAAAGCCATTGCATATTTCTTCTATATATTGCATGTGTCGACACTATGTTATGACTAGTAACCGAGATGGACACCCTCTTTAGGGCCATTCTCAAATTGAGCCGTGTATTCAACATCCGAACACTTAAGCTGAGGATCTCTCCTCGCCCTTGCCGTGGATCGCGGTGTTGCTAAATCGGGGGATCTGTATCCGATTCCTCGATAGTGCCGTGTACTTTCCATTCGGCCAAACAAGCGCTATACAAACATACTCGAGTACAAACAAATAACTGACGCTGATACAGCTCAATACAAATACAATGCCCTCACATTTAGTGCGGGGTCAGGAAAATGTATTAATATACACTTGATATATGCTTAAATCTTAAGATCTGTCCCCTTAGGGTTGAATTGGGAAGGCTTAATAATGCCAGAACCTCCCATCACCCTAAGCCTATGGAGGCACTGACTTAGTTTATCTTTTAAGTCTAGGATTTCCCAATCTTGTTCGTTGATTCTAAGAAGATACTCCTCGGCGGCTGCCCTCTATTTTGCTTCATCATCTGGATCGAGATCCTCGAGAATGGGTAACGAAATCTCGTGGTCCACCAGTATGTTCTGAAGAATGGCGGCCTGCTTCGAGTAGAACTCGGCCTCTTTGGTCCTCTTCTTTAGGAGGTCAATTACAGCGATAAAGCATTCTGTACAAACCTTTATCTGTGCCGACTAGAGCATGCATGTCAAATTTTTCGAGGAACCATGGGGACACAACAATATTCTCGCGCTTCCTCAGTCGAGCATTTTCTTTCTTCAGCTTCTCCATCTCCTCATTAATATTGGCTTCTAGAGACAAGGAATCGTGAAAGTCCAAGTCATATTGGTGGAGTCGACGCTTCCATTCTTCCTCTTGTTGTCTAAAGCGCTGCACCAAGCGGGAGTGCGCTTGTAGGTTAAGTGCATTGACAGCATCCGTAAGCTCTTTCTCGAGAGCTCTCACTATGTTAGTGTTGTGAACGTCTCCAAATTTCCTCAAAATTGAGGAAATCATCTTATACATGGGAAACCTCGTGATCTCGTCTTTCTCGAGAATCAACATATGTACTAGATGAACGAAGTACGAATCCTGACATAATGGCAAGAAGTATATCAAATGTTAGAGGAAAGAGGCACTAATCTAATTCATAGTTGGCAAAAATTGTTCAAGAATCACTACAGCAGGCTAAGGTCTACAACCTTAGCAGCAAAAATCCTAGTACAAGAAGAGAGTTCATACGTCATTTTGGCCGGGAGGGTGACTTGGCTGATTTTCGTTTGTCTCCTCGATAGGGGGTGTGAGTTGACGTCCCTCCCTCTTCAGGCCCCTAGTCATTCTTCCCGTCCTCCTCGACCTGCTCTGAGGAATCCTCTTCTCATTCCACCTCAACACTGATGAAATCTGGGGCCAGCTCCGGCACACGTACCTCTTCTCCAGCATCAACAGGAAGCATTGTAAGGGCATCTCCTTCAAAAGAAGCGATCTCTGTTGGTGAACCCATCTGAGCAACGGCACTGCATAATGGCCCGAACAGTGGGAGTCGACCATCAGAAAGCTGCTACAGTCCAGTCTTTATGGCCTCATGCAGAGTCTTCTTAGGATGCGGCTTTATGAATTGCTGAAGCCATCCAGGGTTGATAGTCCTTCCGCTCTCCATCCTCTCGAGAGCGGCCACAGCTACACCATGTCCACCCAACGCTTTGGCATCGTTACTGATGCCAACCAGGATGCTGGCCAATCCACCAATTAGTACCATTCTTGCCCAAAAAGCCATCATCCATTCCTACAGATCTAATTTGGGAACTTGGGACTCTCTATATTCTATCAGCTTGATCTCAACCTCCCTGTACATGGCCTGAACAATGACTAACTCCTTCTCCCTGGCAAGCCTCATAGCCTGCTCCTCCTTTCTCGACTCCTCATGTATTAACTTCTCTTGCTCGAGGAGCCCCTTTTCAAGTAGCAAACTGGCAATCTCTTGCTTCAATCTCTTTTCTCGCATAAGAATGCTAGCCATCAAGGTAGTCAACTATAAAGAATACATGATAGATTTCAGCCAAAGTACCGCATGAGTTCAAGACTAAATGAATTTCAAGATTGATAGATCTTACCATTTTCAGCGATTCCTCCTCTGTCAAGGTCGCTGCAACTTCCTCAATAATGGGACACTCAATCCTAGTGTCCCCAAAATGATATATGGCGGCGGCAGCAGTGTATGTTGATGACCCATTGGTGTCTTCGACAGTGTTCTTCTTCTCCGGTGAGGCCTCGATCGGTTTAAACCACTCTGGATGCCGCTCTATCACGGGGATGGCCTCAGAAGTTAGGTTCCCATCTGTTTCCTTACCAGTAGAAGGGGCAGTCTTCAAGGGGTCAGCTGCATCATCAATTCTCCCCTCCTTCTCGACTAGGACTTCTTCCTCGATTAGCTTTTCTTCCTCCACGACGGGGGGTGGCTTCCTCTTCTTGGACTTTGCGCCTGCGTCAGACGCCTTTACAAGTCTTCTTAACTTCCTCTTCTTGGTAACTTTGTTTGATGACCCTTCATCATCTGAATTTTTAATTTCAAAAATCTGGGCGTCACCAAACAAGCCAGCGGTATCTTTGCTCAATGACATGACCTAAAACAAAGAAAATGCACATGATGAGTCAGTACCTCTTTTCTCCTCGATGCGAACAGGGGGAATCTATTGTTGGACTTTGGTGTAGCCGAGGATGGTCTCGAAAGATTCCAGAGCATCAATATCGGCTCTGTACTTTTCAATTTTCTGCTTGTCAGAACTGGTCTAAGTATCTGCTATAACACCTAGTTCATGGGTTTCACGGTAATCCCACGCCACACAAAACTCTTTTGGTGCTTGCACAAATAAGTAGTTTGGCTTCCATATCAGGGCACCATCAAAGAGTTCTACTATATGATCTGCCTTCGAAGTTACGTTCGTTTTTACACTATACCACTCTTTGTACTTAGTCGAGGGAACGCAGACTTTAAAGAAATACCTCCACACTATTAATCGAGGCGTGATGTTCTGCAATTCACAGAGCCTCGCGAAACCGAGGACCGCTGTAACTAAGTTCGGGGTGAATCGAGCAAGTGGAATCTTATAGTGTTGTACTATTTTACCAAACAGAGGGTAAAGTGGGAATCTTAACCCTAGAAACATGAATCTACCGTACACGGTAATTTTCCCCTCTGGTGGAGTGTCAGCCCGTTCATAATCCAACGGTGCTCGATATTCTAGATCTACGGGGAAGTTATATTGCTTGGCAATTTCTTTAGCCTTTGCTTCGGAATTTATGGTTGATGCAAACCCAGATACTGTTTGAGCAGCCATATCTACCCCGATATAAACAAATCTAACAAGATTCAGACAAAGCAAAAGGCATATGTGGGTACTAAAAATACAAGAGGATTGGAAGACTTACTTCTGTCGGAGTTTGACGCACGGCGCTGAGAGAATGCTTTCCTGGTAATAGGTGCTGCAAGCGTTTCTGGCGAGGATGAAAGGATTTCTGTATGTGGCAGAGGAGTTGTATGTGGCTTTTGGTTGTAATTTTGAAAAGGGACGAATAGCTGAAGTCTCCAGTCCTTTGCCAATATAAAAAAAGAAAGAGAAGAAGAAAAAAGAAGAAATTCCCTTTCTCTCTCCCACGACCTGACATCTCGGGCGAATTTCAAGGCACAATTATAATTGCCCAGCCGTCATTTGGGAGTCGTGCACACTGATGGGGCACAACTTTCGTTTAGGCAGGATTTCTGAGTCAGATCATCTTCCTGGTTCGGATCATCGCCCGCGAATGTTTACATTTGGGCTGGTTCAAGACCTATTCATTTCACATGGGCCGGGTGGAGATTAGTTTTATTTAGTGTCAAGTCTTATTTATTTTGCACAATTAACACTTGACAGGGGCACTTGAGGAGTCCACATCCACTCCCTTTGATGGACCGGCCCGTTATACGACTCTAGGGTCCAACCGCCTCTTGGATGGCGGTGTAATATTACTAACCCTAGTAATATTCGGTATTTCCCAAGTCTATAAATAGGGAGTATTATTTCACAATAGAGGTACGCTATTTTAATTCCAATCAACATATACACGCTATTCCAATTTTCTGACTTAAACATCGGAGTGTCTACCCTCGGAAGGCCCCCGAAGTTCTTTTTTGCCGGAAACCCTAGTCAAAGTTCCACAGCTGAGCCAGGGATACAATTCCAGGCATCGTCAGGTATACGGGCATCCTTTTACAGGCCCGTATCTAAACTTGTTAAGGCTTTACTCCGGCGGCGGGTCGACGGTTTGGGGAAGAGAAATGATTGTGTACATTGAACAAATATTGGTCCAAATTGCTCATTTCTCTTGCTGGCGCTGGTATACTGATACTCTGTTTCCACCGGAATCCATGGCCGATGATGGCCAACAGGCTGTGTTGGAGGATGAGGAGGCTGTTAGCCTACTGTTACATCTCCGCCCCAAATTGGATCCTGCTTCTCCCGAGTTCCTAGATGCCACTCTGGGATTCCTTTCTACCACAGGCTCTTATGATGCTGATGATGACGACGATGGTGGATTAAAAAAATGTGTACGTTTTCTTTACCTTCACCTCAATTTCCAAACACAGAAATGAAGTTTCTGTTTTCGTTTCTCTTTAAAGTCCCTCTGATGCAAGAGTACCTGAAGATGGATGAGAAAATAATGGGTGATATTGGTTTAGTCGGACGCATTAAAGGTATTTATATGGATGCATCAGCATACAAGGGTAGTCTTTTGCCCAAGGATGACCGGGAATTTGCGTTTGGTATCTTCATTCCAAGGATGTGGTATCTTAAAGCTGAGATTTTCGTGGAAATCACTGCCACCCTCCGGCAACATTTCCAGCAAGTGGACCAGACCTCTTGCTGGACAGATTCTATGGATGACCTAAAGAATGCCCTTCTTCAAAGGTCCAAGTTCCTGCAAGAGAATGCTCATGTGGACGGAACCAGAAACAGAACCCTACGTTGCATCTATCAATATCTGCAACAACTTTTCTGCTTGGATGACCATCTGGAAGCCGTGCAGCAGATCATCTGTGAAAGACTCCTAGACGAAGATGAAGAAAGTTCGTTGGAGTTCATTGAAAGATTTCCTAAGCAGCTCCAATCAATCATTGGTGATGAGGATGCCTACAGGCTGGCCGCCAAGGTCTGCGGTTTCAGAATTGATTATGTGAAAGAATGAAAAACCATCACATGGTAGCAATGTAAACATCATGTACTCCAGCCTATTTTCAAAATAAAGTAAATGCCCAGTTCCTACTCTTATTTTCTTTTGGTTAATTGCCCAGTTCCTACTTCCTACTCAAAAGTTTCCGATAAATACTTAAAGCACAATACAAGGCCAATCTGCAGACCATAATTCTCATAAATAGCTAACTCAACTTAAATTCGCTATCTACGAAAATGAAGCCTATTCACAACTCAAAACGTACACAAAACCTCGGAATCAAATCACATAAGTTCAAACAAAACCAAGTTAGGACAGCAAAAAACAAAAAGAAAAAAACCAAACTAATCTCTAACAATTCCAGTAGCAGGTCCTTCCATTCAAAAGGGGAAAAGGGGGGAAAAATAACGAGAAAACTAATAAAGACTATTGTTAGTGGTTACTGCTATTTATCCTGATTATCAGCAAAAGGAGGCAGCTCAAGGTTAGCAAAGCTGTGTAAACAGCTCAGAAGACCTCAGACCTGTATCTCCCCTTTCCACAAAAACTACACCAGTTACAGAATACAAAGTGATAAAACATTATTAACTTCCTGGACATTTTATAAACTGGAAAAAAATAAACTCATGCACTTGTTGCAAAGGACAAATTCAAAATTGTCATCAAAATCAATTAAATATACAGTTCCGAATCAATCCTTTCATGACACATTAACCATATACAACAAATATATTAAAAGCGCCCATGTATGTATATCCAATTCAAATCAAGCACACATACTCTTATCAAAAAATCATTACAAGTCCATAAACCTCCCACACAATCCCAAACCTGATGACAAAGAGTTTAAGAAGAATCATCCTTCATCTACTCAAGTAAAGATATAATTGTTTGCACTTGATAATATCTCTTCATTTCAATCAGAATCTCAATTTTGTCAGTTGACAAAAAGTTTAAGGGAAAGAATGAACAGAGGGAAAATCACAAAGTGAACTTCTTTTTTCTTTTTTTCCTTTTCCTTTTTTTAATAACTTAATACCATTAAAGATCAACCAAAGGTTCAAAGCAACTCAACTTTTGGGAAGAAAAATATTATTAATAATGAGTATATTAAATGCACTCATGTATGTATTATCCAATTTAAATCAAGCACAGAGTTATTTTACTCAGAAGAAAGTCGTTACAATTACGAGTCCATAAACCTCCAACATATTTTACCATTTTCTTCTACTCTTAGATTATTCTACGCTTCTACGACGTGGCTTGATGAGAAAAATAGTTTATTCCTAAAGATGAAGTATACTATTTCATTCTATAAGCAAATAAGGCCACATTGAATATTATAGAAAAATATATTCATAAAAGCACATATTAGAAAATGCAGTAAAGTATCTTAAAGATACAATTCGCATCTTGTAATTTGAAATCAGAACCAAAGACTGATGACAAAAAGTTTACGAAGAAGAATAATCAGGAGATTGCTAGCAATTGATAATTTCTCTCCAGTTCAATCAGAATCTCAATTTCTTCGGTTGCCAAAAAGTTTAAGAGGAAGAATGAACACGGAGAAAATCAAAAAGTGAACTTCCCTGAACTTCTTTTTCATGGGGAAACAAAAAAAAAATCAAAGGAAAAACATAATACCGTTCAAGATCAACAAGAGGTTCATAGCAATCCCACTTTTGGGAAAAAATATTTATAATAACAATAGCGGTAATTTAGAGAAGTTACAGAGTGAAATCTATGACTAATTAAAATTATTGTACTCCCTCCGTCCCATAATTATTGTCCAGTTTGGATTTTCATTTCTAGTTCAAATTATACTAAAAATGAAATCTCAAACTTGACAATAATTTTGGGATCATAGAAGTGACTTTTTTCGTATCCATGGGGATCAAAGACATCCTTGCTGAAACAAGATCCCATTTCATCAATGAGTTGATATGTAACAACATGACTTAAAAGAGTCATGATTTCGGTAAACTTTTCGAATGCGCACCTTTGCATTATAGCTTCTTCCCTTATTCTTAAATGCAAGAAATTCGATTATTTTCTCCTGCAAGAAAAAAATAAACAATAGTAAGAAAAGATTAATAGAAGCTCTGCCTACTCCTAGAAAATATATAAAACTGTTAAATCCTTTTTCGACCCAAGGATATTTCCCAAAACCCAGAATAGATAGTCTATTGTCCATTCAGGACATATAACCCAAAGATGCCCTTTAGATTACCAGTGGATCTCTACTCTGTCTTATTCAATGAAATATAGCATTTAAGTTTGCCATAAAATAGTAGTAAATATACAACAAGCATTAGCTTGACAAACTTACTTGCAGTTTATCTGAGCACTTGGCTTTTGGCGGTGGAGGTAAAAACTTGTTTAATAGATCAACATCTTTTGACCCTTCTGAAATATCCATAAATGCATCATCTTCCTCGGCTGATGGGATTTTGTTAACAGCATGGTTATTGTCACCATCAGTATCTACTTGATCATTTGACTCAACCAGATGAGGATGAGCTGTTTGTTCTTCATCATCCATCTCATCATCTTCATCACCGTAGATTGAGAGTAAAGCTATCATCATCAGAAGCATTCTTGTTAAGCAAAGCCATTTCAGAAGAGATCTATCGGAAACAATAAAACAAATAGAGTTTAAAAGGCTTGATGAGACAAGAGACTGATTTGAATTATAGGAACAATGAGTATAAACCCAAGCATCAAGTACAGAAGACAATATATTTGAAGCTGTAAAGGCTTAATCATAAGAAAAAATGTGGGTAGAACTACTCATAGAGAGGTTTTCTGGAAAGCTGATAATATTCCTAGTTTTCTTGTGAGGCCCCGTCTTCGGGACCTCTTTGCTTGAGTGTAATAGAAAAATAAGTATCTAGTCTAATACTAAATGGCAATAGTTTTCAGTCACATATTATCGTTGACGGTAATAAATAAAAAATAAAATAAAATAAGACACCCAAATTTAATCATAATATTCGTAAAACACACAAACAAAAATTATATGAAGTTGTAACTAGATTCAGACTAACTGCATTAAAATCAAATAGATTAATAAATCTTCATAAGACCATGGTGTAGAAAATAATAAAAGTGGGATTTGTTTGACAAAATTTTATACCTGAGGGATTGACTAAAGAAAACAAAAATTGTCAAAACCTCCCCACCGTTCTCATTTCCCGTCTTTGAATGACAACACACTCCCCACACCCTCACAAGTCGACACCACACCGTCGGAGAACCTTGACTCACCTTCAATCCTCTAATGCCTTATGTGACTCACTATTCCTCCACTTTCATTTCAGCCTAAATCCACCTCCCGAAGTTCTCTGCTTCCACTGCCGAATTGCCACCAACAGCCCCCTTGTCTTGCCATAGTTTCTATTCACTCTAGTTTAGCATAATAAGGGAAGCAAGGATTGAAAGAAAGAGGAAGGTGATTGTTGGGGAGAAGAGAAAGAGGTCGAGAGAGGGAGATAGAAATATGGGGAAAAGAAGTAAGGATCCTTGAAATCAATTCAGCTCGGCTTATGAGTAGTAGCAACATGGCTCAATAGCTCCGTGTATTTGCAGCCATAAGAGGTAAGGAATCTAAGCATTTAACTATCAATTCCTAGTTTAAATTATCGAGTGTTTGGTGAATTAGGAGAGATAGTGATTTAGCTAACTCTTTAGATTCAAACATTCCATGCTATGAATCGATGTTAATGATTGTTTATTTTAGTCTAAGTATGGTCTATTGGTTCAAATAGAACAGAGAATTGATGTTGGTTTAGAGGTGTAAGCCACCATGGAAAAATTACAAGTTGAAAGAAGAATTTATTGATCATTTTCAAAAGTGCAGAAAATTTCAGATTTGGGTCTCTGTTGGCAGGCCGTTTTCTCCTAGCTCTTAAAGACTTTTCTAGAATTTCTCTTCATCAATATCTTCTACGTTCAGTGTACTTTGCTGTGGTTTTTACAGATTTCAAAACGGATTTGTAGATTAACCAAAATTTTGATTTGAACACGACAAGCGTTTCCTGAAGATCTGTGCTGAGTTGTTGTTTTCGGAGATTCGTTTCTCCCTTCTCTTAAACTGTTTTAAAGAAATTCTTTTTGCAAATGTCTTCTACAAACGTGGAAGTTTATTCCAGGATTTTTGGATTGCAAATTGGTTTTACGGATTGTCTAAAAATCAGGTTTGAACTTGAGAAACCAAGTCTAGAATTTCTTAAACAAACTGATTTAAGGTGTTGATTTACAGATCATTTTTCTTCTGAGCCTGAACTGTTTTTCTTGATTTCTTTGGTTAAAAATATTTCTTGTTTATCTAGATTATAATGGTTTTGACGGCTCGTGAATCGGCTATTTGGTTTGGTCGAATCCGTGTTTTGAATATAGCCCCGTAGCCGCTCTTTTGTTGGATATTCTGAACTTTTGATTTGGAGTAGCTGAATTAGGACTATGATTTTCCTCGATCATTCTTTTTTCTTTTCTTGTAGGATGCCCTTTGCTTTTACTCTTGTCCATCAGAGTTTGTATTAGAACTCTTGGATTAGGAAAAAGGACATCTTAATTCTTGTAAAAAGGCATTAGGAGAATTGATGATTAGAACTTCCGCTTTCTGAAATTTATATACTAAAAGGCTATCATTTTACTCTCTAAATATCTTTAAGTTACCTACTATCTTCCAGCATGATAAGGAAAAATTCTTATTTGTTAGAAAGGTCTAGCCAAGATTTAGCAAACATGTAGTAAAATATAAGAAACAAGGAAACACATAATAGGACCATTTGCCACTTCTTTTAGCATTGGACAATGATCCATAAACATTTGTTTGATTAACAGATCCTCAAGATAATGTCATCGAACTTCATAAGCCTAAAAGGTGAGTACCTCCTCTCATGCTCTATATTGTAACCTTGTCTCCCCCTCTCAGTGCATGACTGTTGAGTGCTTATATGATTTTACTTGATCGAAGTGCGAGCTTTGAGCTACTACATGAACCTGTGATACGTGATTATATTGCTATTATTTGTCTATGTGTTTTTGAATGAATTGCAAGCTTGGTGTTAATATTTGAACTTCTTGATATGTGAATGTCTTGTCACTGTTTGGCTGCGTGCCAATTGAATTGAATTGCTTGTCACTACTCGGTTGTGTACTTTATCACTCCGAGATATAAATGATTGAGACGACTTGTCCTGTAAATGAATATTTGTGCATGAACTGCCATAAAATTGTTGAGACTTGGATGTGTACATTATCAGACCAGTCTCTATGTACCATTGAGCCATTTTTAGGAAGCTCAGGTTAACAGTAGAAAATATTGAATGTTTCTTGATGTACCCTTTTAACATCAATAAGAACTTTTTAAAATCATTCAACATCAGTAGGAAGCTGAAGATGTAAGTAATTTGTAGGATGTATAGCAGAAAATAAATTAGTTTCTTTTACTGTTTTAAGGTCAAACTACGTTATGAATTTCGAGGACGAAATTCTCTTAAGGGGGTCAGATTGTGAGGCACCGTCTTCGGGACCTCTTTGCTTGAGTGTAATAGAAAAATAAGTATCTATTCTAATACTAAATGGCAATAGTTTTCAGTCACATATTATCGTTGACGGTAATAAATAAAAAATAAAATAAAATAAGACACCCAAATTTAATCATAATATTCGTAAAACACACAAACAAAAATTATATGAAGTTGTGACTAGATTCAGACTAACTGCATTAAAATCAAATAGATTAATAAATCTTCATAAGACCATGGTGTAGAAAATAATAAAAGTGGGATTTGTTTGACAAAATTATATACTTGAGGGATTGTCTAAAGAAAACAAAAATTGTCAAAACCTCCCCACCGTTCTCATTTCCCGTCTTTGAATGACAGCACACTCCCCACACCCTCACAAGTCGACACCACACCGTCGGAGAACCTTGACTCACCTTCAATCCTCTAATGCCTTATGTGACTCACTATTCCTCCACTTTCATTTCAGCCTAAATCCACCTCCCGAAGTTCTCTGCTTCCACTGCCGAACTGCCACCAACAGCCCCCTTGTCTTGCCATAGTTTCTATTCACTCTAGTTTAGCATAATAAGGGAAGCAAGGATTGAAAGAAAGAGGAAGGTGATTGTTGGGGAGAAGAGAAAGAGGTCGAGAGAGGGAGATAGAAATATGGGGAAAAGAAGTAAGGATCCTTGAAATCAATTCAGCTCGGCTTATGAGTAGTAGCAACATGGCTCAATAGCTCCGTGTATTTGCAGCCATAAGAGGTAAGGAATCTAAGCATTTAACTATCAATTCCTAGTTTAAACTATCGAGTGTTTGGTGAATTAGGAGAGATAGTGATTTAGCTAACTCTTTAGATTCAAACATTCCATGCTATGAATCGATGTTAATGATTGTTTATTTTAGTCTAAGTATGGTCTATTGGTTCAAATAGAACAGAGAATTGATGTTGGTTTAGAGGTGTAAGCCACCATGGAAAAATTACAAGTTGAAAGAAGAATTTATTGATCATTTTCAAAAGTGCAGAAAATTTCAGATTTGGGTCTCTGTTGGCAGGCCGTTTTCTCCTAGCTCTTAAAGACTTTTCTAGAATTTCTCTTCATCAATATCTTCTACTTTCAGTGTACTTTGCTGTGGTTTTTACAGATTTCAAAACGGATTTGTAGATTAACCAAAATTTTGATTTGAACACGACAAGCGTTTCCTGAAAATCTGTGCTGAGTTGCTGTTTTCGGAGATTCGTTTCTCCCTTTTCTTAAACTGTTTTAACGAAATTCTTTTTGCAAATGTCTTCTACAAACGTGGAAGTTTATTCCAGGATTTTCGGATTGCAAATTGGTTTTACGGATTGTCTGAAAATCAGGTTTGAACTTGAGAAACCAAGTCTAGAATTTCTTAAACAAACTGATTTAAGGTGTTGATTTACAGATCATTTTTCTTCTGAGCCTGAACTGTTTTTCTTGATTTCTTTGGTTAAAAATATTCCTTGTTTATCTAGATTATAATGGTTTTGACGGATCGTGAATCGGCTATTTGGTTTGGTCTAATCCGTGTTTTGAATATAGCCCTGTAGCCGCTCTTTTGTTGGATATTCTGAACTTTTGATTTGGAGTAGCTGAATTAGGACTATGATTTTCCTCGATCATTCTTTTTTCTTTTCTTGTAGGATGCCCTTTGCTTTTACTCTTGTCCATCAGAGTTCATATTAGAACTCTTGGATTAGGAAAAAGGACATCTTAATTCTTGTAAAAAGGCATTAGGAGAATTGATGATTAGAACTTCCGCTTTCTGAAATTTATATACTAAAAGGCTATCATTTTACTCTCTAAATATCTTTAAGTTACCTACTACCTTCCAACATGATAAGGAAAAATTCTTATTTGTTAGAAAGGTCTAGCCAAGATTTAGCAAACATGTAGTAAAATATAAGAAACAAGGAAACACATAATAGGACCATTTGCCACTTCTTTTAGCATTGGACAATGATCCATAAACATTTGTTTGATTAACATATCCTCAAGATAATGTCATAGAATTTCATAAGCCTAAAAGGTGATTACCTCCTTCACGCTCT